AGAGTCCTGAAGTCACATATTGACGAATGGGTCGCGGGATGGTAGTTATTTTTCGACACTTGGTGTGGCGCACTGATGGGGTTTAAGCTCCACCCCATGACGCGGCGCACACCCTGGTGACATTGCCATGGGCACTTGGGTTCAGGCAACCACATGGGTGGGTGACTGGGATGTGATATGCAGCTTACATCGATTAGGGTGGTGGGTGGGTGACACAAGGGGTTGGGGGCTGCGGGTGTGAATCACAACTGTATGCGGGGTGTTGGGGGGGTGTGGATGGGTTGGGTGGTTGGGCTTACACCAGGGTCGCAATTGGGTTGGCCTCGCATCCAAGTGCCTTAGCCAGGGAAACTGTGGGTTAAGGGACAACACAATGTTTGGTGTCATGGTACTGTGGACTGACGCCCGTACCCTGATTGGTGGTGGTAGGGGTGTCCAGAGTGTGGTGGTAATCCTACGATACATCTGTCCCGTGATTTGGTTCGTTTGTTTCTTGTATTGTAGGTATTCGTACACCAGTCGTCACACTTCCATGTTGGTCTCTATATTCCAGACAGAGACTTAAGGATGTGTTTCAAGAAGTTAGCGAGACGGTTGAGTGACGTTTTCTTGCTGAGAGCCTAATACTATCTGGCGGACGAAGTTGGTGGGGGTCTGGGTACACGGCGTGAATCGTATGGCTGCCGTTCGTTCGGCCCGTGTAACCCTTTTTGTAGGGGACAAGGTTTACTGGCTTGTGGTATCACTTGCTTTTTGTTGTACTGGTCGGCTGCGTTGTTTTAGCTGGTCGCTTTGTGGTGGGTGGGGAAAATTTCATGGGACAAATTCATCGGGTGGTACTGGCGTTGGGGGGGGTTTTTTTTGGATCGTGGGTGTTTGTCTTATGCGGTTTGTTTCATCTGGGAATTATTATAATCTTTTTGGCAATTTGTTTGTCGGCCCGGGGAGGGTCTGTTATGTTTTATATTCGCAAATACTGTGTTGTTACTGTACCGGACCCGAATAAAGTCACTCTCAACTACTATAATTATATTTCTACTTTTTGGGATGTGGGCCCATACAGGACGCGTGGTACGTGGGCAGTGCTGTGGTACTGCTACTTATCGCTGGTGGTTTGAGTAGGTGGCGGCTTTACGTAGCTGTAGAATTTGTATGGGATGTTTTGGTTCTGGGGCTTGGTGGTACGGTGACTTTTGGTGGTCCTATTTGCATATAGTGTTGTGAGTTGGTTTGGGTTTAGGGGTGATTTGGGTGGGGTGGGGGGTGCCGGGGGCGGGCTGAGGGGCCGGTGGAGGCGGGGGGGGGGGCGGGGGGGTGGGTAGGGAGGGGGAGCGGGGCTAGGGGGGGGGGGGGTGGTGGGGGTTGGGTGCGGGGGAGGGAGGGGGGCGTGGAGGGTGAATGGGGCGTTGGGGGCTGGGAGTGGGGGGCGGTGGATAGGGGGCCGGGGGTGGGGGGCGCGTAGGGGGGGGCGGGCTGGAGGGGGGACGGCGGGTGGGGCGGTGGGGGAGTGGGTAGGGGTGTTGTGTGCTTGGGGTGGGGGTCGGGGAGCCAGTGCGCGCGGGCTGGGTGCAGGTCGGGGCTGCGGGGTGGGTCACCGCCCACACTACAATCATCCATCATCGGCGCGGTGGCGGTGAGAACGCGGGGGTTGGGAGTGGCGGCGGGCGCGGCGCGGGGGGTAGGGTCGGAGCGCGGCTGAGAGGACGGGGGGGGCGATGTCCGGAGGGGGGGCGGGGGGTGGGGGGGCGTGTAGGTGGGTGGCGTGGCGGTGGGGCTGCACGGGTAGGGACAGGGGGGGGCGCGGGGGGGGGCGGGGTGGGAGGGGGAGGGGGGGGGGGGTGGGTAAATTTCGGGGGGGGCTGGGTCCTGCCACACTTGGGCGGGTGGCGGGGGGAGGTGTTGAGCGGGGAGAGAGGGAGGGGCAGTGGGGCGGGGGGTCGGGCTGTCGCGGGGTGCGCGGACGCCCGGGCGGGGGGCGGGGGCACGGGGACCGCGGGGGAGAGGGGTCAGGGGGGGGCGGTGCCGGGGGGGGCCGAGAAGGGGGCGGAGGCGGTGTGGCCGAGGGACGGAGGTGGGCGCTGATGGGGGGCTGCCCCCCCACGGTGGGCTACGGTGAGGCGGGGGGGGGGCGGGGGTGGGCGCCGGGGTCGGACGTGACCGGGGGGGCGCGGGGCGCGGGGTTGCGGGGAGGGAGGGGAGGGTGGGGGGCGGGGAACTAACGTACCCAGGGGGAGGGGGGTGGGGGGGGTGGGGTGGTGGTTTGGGGGGAGTGGTGGGGTGGGGAGCGGGGGGGGGGAGAGGTGGGGGGGGCGAGTGGGATGTGTGGGAGGGGGGGGGGGGGGGGGGGCGGGGGGTAGTGGGGGGGGGAGGGGGTGGGGGGGTGGGGGGGGGGGTGGGGGGTGGGGGGTAGGTTGGTTTGGGGGGGGGGGGGGGGGGGGGGGGAGGGAGGTGGGGGGGAGGGGGGGGGGGGGGTGGGGGGGTGGGGGGGTTGGGGGGTGGGGGGGGGGGGGGTGGGGGGGGGGGGGGACGGGGGGGAGGGGGGGGTGGGGTGTGGGGGGGGGGGGGCTGCGGGGGTGGTGGGGAGGGGGGGGGGGGAGGGGGGGGGTGGGGGTGGGGGGGGGGGGGTGGTGGGCGGGGGGGGGGGGGCTGCCGCGTGGGGGGGTGGTGGGGGCGGGGGGGGTGGGGGATGGGGGGGGGGCGGGGTGCGGGGGGAGGTGAGGGGGGTGGGGGGGATGGGGGTGGGGTGGGGTGGGGGGAGGGGGTGGGGGGGGGGGGAGGGGGGGGTGGGGGTGGGGAGGGGGGGGGGGGGGGGGGGGGGGGTGGGGCGGGGAGGGGGGAGGGGGGGGGTGAGGTGGGGGAGGGGCGTGGGTGGAGGGGTAAGGGGAGGGGGGCGGAGGGGGGAGGGGGGGGTCGTGGGGGGGGGGGGGGGGGGTGGGGGGGGGGGGTGGGTGGTGGGAGTGGGGGGGGGGTGGGGGGTGGGGGGGGGCGGGGGGGCGGTGGAGGCGTGGGGTGGGGGGGGTGGTAGGGGTGGGGGGGGTGGTTAGGGGGGGTGGGGTGGGGGGGGGGGGGGGGGGGGGGGGGGGGGTGGGGGTGGGTTTGTGGGGGTGGGGGTGGGGGGGTGGGGGGGGGGTGGCGAGGGGCGGGGGGGGGGGCAGGAGGGGGGGGGGGTGGGGGGGGGGGGGGCAGGGTGGGTGGGAGGGTAGCAGTTGGGTTGGAGGGTGTGGGGGGGGGGGGTGGGGGGGTGGGGGGGTGGGGGAGGGAGGGGGGGGGGTGGGGGGGGGGGTGGTGGGGTGAGGATCGGGGGCGTGAGGGCGGGGGGGGGGGGGGAGGGGGGGGATCGTGTTTGGGGGGGAGGGGAAAGCGGAAGGGGGAGGGCGCGGGTTGTGGGGGGGGTGGGGTGTGGGGGGGGGGGAGGCTTTTTGTTGTTTTACTGGGGGTGGTTTGTGTGCTGGTGTTTTGTTCTTAGAGTTCGAACTGTGTTTGTGGGTTGTGGGGGTTTCGTGAGGGGGGTTGGTGGGTAGAGTCCACCTCAGGAGGGGTGGGGGGGAGAGGGGCGCGGGCGGGAGGGTGGGTGAGGCCCGAGGGGGGGGGGGAAGGGGAGATGGGGGGATTGTGGTGTTTGGGGTTGTGTATGGGGGGTTGGGGGGGTGGGTGTTTGGTGGGGTGGGTTATTTGGGTTTGGTTGGTTGGGGGGTTGGGGGTGGGGTTGGGAGTGTGGGGTTGGGTGTTTGGGGTTTTTTTTGCAGTTTTTTTCGGGTTTGTGTGTTGTTTTTGGTTTTTTTGTTTTTGATGTGGGTTGTGTGTTTTTATGTTTTTTGTGCCCATTTTTGTAGTGTTTTTGGTGTTGTTTTGTGTTGTGATTGTGTGGTTATGGTGGTTGGTGGTGGGGGATGTTGTTTTCGGTTGAGGGGGGGGTGGGTTGGGTGGTGGGGGGGGCGGTGGTGGGGGGGGGGTTGGGGGGGGGGATGGGAGGGGGGGGGGTATGTGGGGGGAGGGTGGGGGGGGGGGGGTGCGGGGGGGGGGGGGGTTTGTGGGGGGGGGGGGGGGGGGGCTGGGGAGGGGGGGGGGGGGGGGGGAGGGGGTGGTGGAGTGATGGGGGGGGGGGGGCGGGGGGGGCGGGCGGTTGGTGGGAGTGGGGTGGGGGGGGGGGGGGGGGGAATGGGGGGGGGGGTGTGGGGGGTGGGTGGGGGGAGGCGGGGGGTGGGTAGGTTGGGGGGGGGTGTTGGGGGGGTGGAGTTGGGTGGGTGGGGGGGGGTAGGGGGGGTGGTTGGGTGGTGGGGAGGTGGGCGGGTGTTTTTTTTTCTTTTATTTTTTTTTTTTTTGTTTTTCGGGGGGGTGGGTTTTGTGGGGGTGTTTATGTTGTGTTGGGGGGGGGGGGGGGGGGGGTAGGGGGGTGTGTGTGGGTGGGGGTGGGGGTGGGTGTATGTTTTGTAGCGTGGATTTTGGGGGGGTGGGTGTGCGGCGGTGGTGGAGTGGTGTTTGTTTGGGTTTGTTTGTTGGGGTGTGGTTGTGGGTTTGGGTGTTGGGGTGGGGGGTGTGTTGGGTGGGGTGGGGTGGAGAGGGGTGTGTCGGGGCGGGCGTGGGCGGGGGCGGGGGGCGCTCGAGTGGGAGGGTGGGGGGGTGGTGGGGGGGGGGGGTAGGGGGGTGGGGGGTGGTGTGGGTGTATATTGTGTTTTTTGTTATGGTTGTTTTTTATTGTTTGTTGGTTTTTTTTTGTGTTGGGTGTTATGTTGTGGGGGTGGTGGCGGGTGGTCGGGGTGTGAGGGGGGGGGTGTGATTTTTTTCCTTTTTTTTGTTTTTTGTTTTGGTTTTTTTTTTTTTATTTTTCTATTTTTTTTTTAGTTTTTTTTTTTTTTTTTTTATGACAAACGGGGGGGGGCTGGTGGTAGGGGTTGGAGTGTTTTAAAAGCACTTCCAAACCTTGACTCATGATTTTAAACTATTCGTTACTGTCAAACTTTTTTTGTGTAGATTTTGGAGTTTCAGATCCAGGCCATAATGGAAGAAAAAATTAGAATCAAAAAGAGCAAAATAAAAAATATTCTGGACAGTGACCCCTCTGAACTCAAGTTAAACTGCAGAAAATGTACTGCTGAGGCCTGCACTGGAGACGACATTGAAATTATTGAAAAGATGCACCGAGTCAACCTATCAGAGGCATTTGGGTACAGTACAGTATATTAAAGAAATTTTATGATAAACTATTAACTGCAAATGATTTCATGCATTAAAATACTTCATCCTTAGTAAACTCTTCATGATTAAGGAGAACAATACTCTTCGGGAGCGTAATCTGGATTATGAGGTCAATGGTTCTATTGCCTGTAAGAAGTGTGGGAATGTGAGTAAATTTTTTTATGTGAACAATTGTCATCTGTGTTCCTGAGTATAGTTCATGACTGACTGTAAAGAGCCAAACTGTCACTCTGTGAATAATTGGTAATGATCGGAAGGAATGATGGCCCACAATGGCAGTCCCTGTCATTCTGCCCCGGGACAGATGTGGCTACAGTAATAGTTTATAACCGCACTGTATGAAGTGAATGAACAATGGCATGTGAAGTGTCTTTGAGCGTCCCAACAATTGCTCTATTTGTCTGATCATTATTAACATTATTATTAACATAAAACAGGCCTTGTGAAAATCAATGGGGATTAGTAAATGCATATTTTGTACTCTGAAAAATGTAATAATAGAAAATGATATCTTTGCAGCCCTGGGGTTCGATGATGAACTACCGGGGACTCAACTGCCCCTGTCTCCACGTAAAGAACTTTGGAGTGACGCTAAAGGGGGAAAAAGTCAGCAAGTGTTCCAAGTGGAGTGAGTTGCCAGTCAAGTTCCGTGCCTTTGACTACGCTAATCATGTCGCCCAAATGAATTCCTCTGAGTCAGAGGATGATGAAGAGGAGGAAGACGAGAATGAAAATTAGATCATCGTGTTCAGCACAATATAAATTATATCATGATGTCAAATAATTTACTCTAAAAAGTTGAGGGTGGAATTGTTAGCTTATCTTATCTGTATTTTAATGTATTTTAATGGCTTTTTAACATCACGGCCAGGGGACTACTCCTTTGCAAATTCTGGCTTTTTTAACTTTTAACACTATTGAATTGCATTGTAGCCTTTGAAATCAACTAAACTGAAACTGAATCTTGTAGTTATTAATTTATTTCTTGTTGTTCATGCTAAACATGACTGTAGACTGTATGTGACGATGGACAGTGCTAACCCGCTAGCTCGATGAAGCCTTATAGGGAAGTGCTCATGGACAAAGTTTTGTTACTGGCTTTGGCTCCCATTCACTTGGTAAACTCCTCTGTTGTTTAACCAGTCTGTAACCATTTGTGTCACAATAACCATGTTGGGCTTAAATATCTGTGGTTTACTGCTCTGCATTATATATATATGCAGATATATCTTCTGCTAGCAAGTAGTGTGAGAGTGAACCAAGCCCCTGCAATCCAAGAGAGCGTCCTATTCAAATCAATGGCTTCTGCTCAGTGGTGCATGTGTCACCTTGTGGACCAAAAGATTAGCACAACTCGCCCATATTTGGGCATCGTCTGGTTCTCCCGGTTCTACGCAGTGGACAAGCTCCAATGATGGTGGCGCCATATACGCGTGTGTGGCTCTCATGCACGTGCATAGAGCGGCTCTGCCACGTTTTGACCAATCAGCACTGCTGATCAGAGCGGGAGTTAGAGCGAGAGCCGAACGAGCAGAGTTTGTGGCACTAAAGTGTGTATTTAAAGAAAACCAAAGAATTGAACAAGAAAAAGTTCAGGATGGCAAGGGACACTAAAATCCGACCTTTGTGAAAGCTGTAGGTTCTCTGTCAGCTGAGGTTAAGTAGTGTTTGTTTACAATGAGATCTATGGGAAAAATGTCTGGGTAGCCCATCCAAATCTACTCTTGTTTAGTCTGCAGTACCGCGAGAATCCCCCGAGCACGTGGGTCCTTCAGCTCCAAGCTAGTAACACCTATTACATTGAAATTTCCCCACTGTGGGACAAATAAAGGATTTCTTATCTTATCTTATATTATAATAGATCTATGGCGTGAACAAGTAGCGAGAGCAAGACCAGCGGTCTTAATCCTGATTGATTTATTGGTTGCTGGGCCGTTGCTACCCATATTTTTGTCTCCAAAGTCCCGTCCTGGAGCCTGTTTGAGTCAGCTCTAATCGGCTTCTTCTGCGAGTACTCGGTCAGCACTCAGTTAGTCCACTCCTTCAACAGTTTGTTTATGCCTCAAGTAGAAAAATAGAACTTGAATAGAACATATTCAAACAATGTCCTTATTACACTTTTATTTTGATGGTGTCAGGTTAATACGCGGTTCATTTACAAGCCCTTTTACTTTGCTATGGGTTGAATCTATGCATTTATAATGAACTCATGTTGAGGTTGTTGCTGACACACAACATATAATTTCATCTGATTTGTCGCTGCTGGACATGTACACACTGGAGAATGATGTATTGTGTGCAATGTGATTTCATGTGTGTACAATAGAACAATTTAATGAAATGAATAAACGATGGAATGGGTGATCATGAAAATAAACCTGGCTTCAGACCGTCCCTTGACAATGGTGTCGCTGGAGCCGCAGCCCCTCAGGCCCACCTGTCATAAACACTAGCAGGTGCATGTGTTTTCTCCCATTCTCCCAGCTGTTAGGATGACTCACTTCATTCTTACCAATTCTATTTCTGTGTCTGTCATTTACTACCTCGAGCAACCGCTTTGTCTAATCAGGCGGTAAGAATTAAACATGGGTCACTTCAAATAGACTAAGGCTGAATTGTAGCTACAAACACTATAATTAAGTATGTTTAGGGTAACTTACATCCGGACAAATGTAAAAGCGGATAAATGCTTTTGTATTAACTCTCTTTCCATGGAACCTTTCAGGTGTTCCTAAAAGTTACATTGTGTTGCCTTACGATAACAAATATGTTCAAAAGTGAGCTAAAATATGTCTATATTGTATCAAAAGGTGACTAACTGTTCTTTGGACTAGTTTTATCAGAGCCGGGATAAGGTTTCTCACTCTCAAAACTAGTTTTCACATGCATGTATTTTTTGGCCTGTGTCTAATGTTTTGACTGTATGTTTCTCAAAGTAATGAAGAAATTATCCTAGACTTGACTCAAGTAAAGTTGTAAGTAAGTAAATTGAATAAAACAGTATAGAATTACACAAACACACACACATTTATAATGATGTGTTTGAGTAATCCCACATTGTCCTATATTTGTGGCTTTAATGCTCAGAATACATCCTTTTTTCCCTCCTCAGGACAACAGTGGCAAAGGTGGATGTGTTTCACCTTTTCATCTTGAGGAACAAGACAAGAAGAGCAGCGGTTGCAAAACTCCAAACTTTGACAATAAGAGCTTCACTCTTGTTGTGTGGCTTGTTTTCCTTGTTTACCTTGCTTGTTTTTTTGCAAAATGTTGTCACTTGTGTGACTGAGCATTTTGGTTTTAATTAGTGGGAAACCCAGAGGTGTTGGTCAAAATTCTCTTGTCTATCATGAGAAAAGGGGTGAGTGTTATCTCGCCGTTTTTAAATGAAAAACTCAGTAAGATGTAGAGAAACTATACAAGGAAACGGGTCAAATATGTTCTGCAGTTTTTAAAAGGGAGTCAATTGTAAAAAGCTCAATATTGTAACATACTGTACATCATGATTAAAATGTATTACAGACATTTACATGTGTTTAGGTTTATTAAAATCACATCACGAGCATATGATGTTCCCTTTAACATTGTCAGTGATATATCTGAATGCACTTTTTACATGAGCAAAAACTATCAGAGTTCTTTGCTTGTTAGTCTGAAGAATAAACGCGACGATGACAGATCCAGAGTTCCTGAATAGCCAAAGTGCGGTTGGTCCACAGTTGTGCTGACTTTGGAGGAGTTTTCCCTGACTTCTGGAATGCAAATGCAGCAGCAGCAGCAGCAGCAGCAGTAGAAGCGGGATGTGCTGAGGAATTCTGCAACTACAACTTCTGCAAGAGCCACAAACCGGGAACCAATGACATGTTATAACTATTAGGACAAATCCATTATAATGATTCAAAGTTGTTACATTTTCTTTCCAAGTTCGTAGTGTGGGATTGGCTACTGAATGTCGAGGAACTCATCTGCAACATGGTTAGTGTGTTTTTTATATATATATCTATTCATGTATTTATTTAAACAAAACTTACATGCACATCTACAGATACGCCCGTTGGCAGCGTATTTAAGTGTAAATAATGATTTAAGTGAGATGTTTTGTTTGGGGTCTTCCCTGGGCTTTAGGGCTACGGCAAGAGGCTGTGGTGGGTGGTCGCGGCTGCTGCCGTCATCATGTTAATAACTATTCCAGCCATATATTTAAACAGTAAGCTCTTTTTGAAGTATTATTAGTATTGTTGTTATTATTCATTTGGGTATATTATTCTAATACGCCTTCCCCTTTCCGCATTGTGCTTCGCGTGGCATTATTCATATTTTCTCATAGTAATTTTACTTCTTATTAAATGGACATTCTCTATTTTTACTATTTTTACTGGTACAACACATTAGCTTTATTGTCTTTTAGTTTTGACTTTGTTTCATCGCATTAACAAGTAGACATAAACAATTCATAAACTTTGAAGACTTTTCCACTTTGAAACTTAGACTGTAAACAGCGCCCCCTGGTGACGAAGCTAGGCGCGCACATAAAAACGTCAGCCCGGATCTGTCAGCTGGATTTTGCTTTTTGATAATAGAGTGAGAAGAAAAAGACAATTACAGTTCCAATCATCCAGCTGAAATATTGCGATAAACTGGCATAGTACTTTAGTTTACGTATAGCTATTTAGATTAGAGTCAATGGAATGCAAAACATGGTGTCAACAATAGCAAAAGTATTATGGAACTAAAATAATGCTATAATCCTTGGCTATTATCATATATGAATATTACCAATAGCTGCTAAATATATATTATATGCAGATTTATTTCGTTTTGTTATTGGTGATGGGTTAACCCTAACCCTAACCCTAATACAAGTCACTTTCACTGCAAATGATCAGGTCTAATCTTGATCTTATCTAATATTGTCATAGTATTATCATTCATGAAGACACTTATCGCTTCAGGGTTGTCTCTGTAGTTTTCTGTTCACTTATTATACTGTTATACTTTCATGCTAATTCATGCATTTAGCATGACTTACAGTAATAAATCATTCCTTAACCCTTTAATGGTTTCCTCAAACATTTGGTAGATCACTTTCTGAGTCACTGCATCTACTTGAAGCTTGGAACAAAAATATACATCTTTGGGGCATCTCACTTGGTTTTAGGCTTTTTTTTAACCATCAAACTGCATCTCAATCATTGGTAAAGGCCAATAATAATAAAAAAACAAACAAAAAAACAAAGGGATGAAAAAGAAAAACATAAAGACGAATGTATTTGTGTTATTAGTGATCCTACAGCTTGGAGAATCCAAAAAAGAAAAAAAAATATTGCTTTCTTCAAGGAGTGAATACTAAGGTGTTAAACATGCAATCTTTAAAATGAAATGGTGTGTTAATTATGCCTCTCCAAAAAATATAATTTGCATTTGATAGTCATTTATTCTGTCTTAATTTATGTTTCTATGTTATGAGTTGATAGTAGGGTTTTAATTAATTATTATTTTGATAATCGATTAGTTGGGCAATAATTATTTTGATAATCGATTAGTTGGGCAATAATTATTTTGATTAAACGATTAGTTGTTTCAATCCATCGATCCAGGGGTACACACACGCAGGGAGAAAGAGGCAACACATCAGGGTGGGGCGAACAAACAACACTACAGACAGGACATAAAACTAAAACAACATTATTTATATCCAAGATAAAAACAGGTAAAGACAAAGCAACACAAAAATGCCACACCATGACACAATTAGTTGTTGATTCTTATTTAAAAAACAAAAAAACAATTCCCTCTCATTCTATAGTAATTATAGCTGTGTCAGAGCCATGAGATTAAGATTAGGAGATCCTCTGTTCATCCCACGGTGGGGAAATGATGTGTTGCATCACAGGTTACAGAACAGTTGGAATGAAGAGTACACAACACAAGATAAGTGGACATTAAGTACAGCACAACTCTATACTTAAAACACAAGTGAAACTCAAAGTATCAAAAATAGAGACATATTAAGTATAAGTATACATATGTTTTACTTTTTACAGCCCAAGTTGTAAGGAACAGAATGAATGAAATGTTTCTTTAATGGGTTAACCTCGAGAATGGCTGCACAATTATCTCTTCTGCTTTAAAAAGACGTTTAGAGTTGGACATTTGGACGTATATAATTAAAACTTGTTTGTATAGTTGCTTCGGTAAGATTCGTCTTCAGTTAACAAATACATTCACTTAAGACGTTCAGCACAGAGGGTACAGTATGTGTGAAGTTACACAAAAGCACAAAGTCGGTGATTGACCAACAACAGATCAGACATTTAAACACTTGGAACACAGCAATGCAGTTATAACCAACCCCTTGGAGCCATTGGTCTATAGGGGAGCAGGATGACCAATGTCCATAAATGATCAAAACCGTGCATAAATGTCCCTAAATCTCCTGGATCATCACCACTGTCCTGATACCCTCCTGAATCAGCGAGGAACAACAACAAAAAACTCCACGGGGAAAGAATGCTATAACCAAAATAAATGTCAGTCATTCATTCAATAGCCGCCTTTCATTGCATTGATTAGCTGTCAATTACAAAGAGACATCATTTTTTCTATGATTCTTATGTGCGTGTTTGCGGTTTCAGGAAGTGCTCCCAAAAGGCTGTTTTCCATTGACGACTACTTCAATGACTCTATTAGGTGGAAGTCCTACAGCATGCATTGGATATCAGGTCCCCTCTATCCGCCCTGGACATATGCACAATAGTACGTTTGGGATTTCTAACATGTCATTTCTATTTGCAGATAAGGAGTATTTGCACAGATCCAGCGATGGGAACTACATGTGCTACAATCTAGACACGAACGAGGAGTCCCTTTATATCAGCAATTTAACATTTGTAAAATCATGATAATTATTCAAGCATTGATTGTATAGAAGTTGGACGACGTTAAAATACAGTGTATCTGTTTTAGGCCCAAGTAGACGCCACTGATTACATGTTGTCTGGTGACTATAACTATGTAGCTCTTGAGAGTAACTATACAAAGGTTAGTATCTTGTTTTTGTATCTAAATGAATCATATTTGGATTATGATTATGTTTGTTCTTTGTCAGAACTGGAGACATTCTTACTCAGCCTCGTACACCATATTCAACAGGAAAACAAAGTCTGTATTTGTATTTATTATTATTTATTTTTGTAACATTATTTTCAATTTAAATTCAACTTTTTTCTCCTTTTCACACAGCTCATTTGTTTCCCCGGTGAATCTCCCCACTCTTGTCCAGTACTTCTTCTGGGGTCCAGTGGGCAGCCAACATGTGAGTTTGTATGGGTAATGTTCCTAATAAAGTTTTACAATATTCTTTTTTTTTTGTCGTGCAGGCCTACGTTTCAGATTTCAACGTGTTTCTAAAATCAGACGTAAATGCTGAGGCTGTTCAAGTAACAAACAACGGAAAAGAAAACGAGATCTCCAATGGGATTCCTGACTGGACATATGAGGGTCAGTTAGAATTATTTTACATAGATATCAATAAAAAAATCATGATAATATTGGCTTTTTTTTTTTCAAACGCATGATAAGTATATGTATAAAACTCTCACAGATTGCAAGTGCTTTGGTCTCTGTGCAGTCAGTTATAATAAAATAATGGTGCGTGTATGAAAGGTTGGAGAAGATTTATTTGTATTCATGTTTCATACCAGATCTGCCCTAGTGCCCTGTGTGCTTAACAGTAGACATTAAGAGACATTGTATTCAATCACAAAAATCATGGATCAATTAAATCAAAAACATTGTACTTTCCGTTTTAAACAGACAAGCAGGTTGAGCTCCAAAGATCTGAGACTGCACACTTTTAATAATCACAAGTAAATCAGAAATATATAATGTGACAGGTTGTGGAGAGCTGTATAAACAAGATTTCAAAGTTATCTGCCCGATTTGGGAGCCAACATTTTAATATTGCGAGATATTTTTCATGTCCGAGTCAGAACATGAGCCAGAGATTTTTTTTGAGCTTGAACTAGTCCTAATTAGTAATTTAGTTAGTGGCTGTAAACTTCCTGTATTTTTCTAGGGATTCCTTGTTGCACCCTTGCACAATCTACTGGTTGGTCTTTAAAGCAATATTTTAAAAGTCACATCATACAAGTAATAATTAGAAATGCATAAAAACCTGTCAAATGCATTTTAAGTAAATTGTTAACATTTTACCCATAATATTAACATTTGTGGACATTGGCCATCCCGCTTCCTATGGACCAATGGCTTCTATGTGTTTGTTATTCTTGTATTTCCTGTGTCCGAACTGTTTGGTTCTATTATCTATGGGTCACTCATTTTGGTGTAAATAATCACTTTTTTTGTTTCAGAGGAGGTGCTTGCATCTAACGGGGCCTTGTGGTGGTCGACCAACGGCTTGCATTTGGCCTACGCAGAGTTCAATGACTCAAAGGTCCACAGGATCGAGTACACCTGGTATGGGAGCGAGCAGTATCCCGAGACTGTGGCCATTCCCTATCCAAAAGTAAATCACTGTTACCACAATTTACCCATCATGTCAGAGTGCATGTTCGGACCATAGACTGTAAATATTAATGGACATAGTGACGCCTATCTCCGCCGTTGAAACGTACAGTATGTGTAATCACTATTCTCTTCTGCCAACTTTTTCAAAATGGCCGCAAGTGGCTCCTCCCGCAGGAAAATTGTGAAAAAACTTGTGTGCGCATGAGTTAGCCGGCACGAGCCTGACACATAGCTAGATAGGTACTTTATTGATCCCCCGCAGGAGAAATTCAGGTGTCAGCAGTATTCATTTAACACGTGCATTCAAAAGTCCACAGCGGCTAAACTAGGCTGGTCCCAAAAAATAGCGTTGAGCCAAGAGCCGACTTTTGGACCATCCTGTAGTTTTTGAGAGGAAAATTCTGTTTCCGGGTACAACCCCCACCGGCAAGGAGTCCGATTACAAGCATGTCAGCGCACGTGCTCATGGACCCTTTTGAGACCCGCCCCCACTGGCTCTGAGCTGAACTATGACTATCACTTTGCTCATGGCGACATTCACCTATTTGTTAGTTTTTCTAGTTTCAGTTTGGCCTCGACTGTGTTTAGTCAGTATTTCAAATTGTTTTTATTTATTTTTTACCAGGAAAGTCCCATTGAGCATGTGGCTCTTGATAGAACATGTTGGACACCTCTGGCCTCAAGTATCTGCCAATACCATATTAACAGATAACAGTGATGTGGATGAAAACTCCCCCTCGAAACAGTTCACACGTGGCAACTTCAAACCCTTGTGCAGTGGCATCGGGATGGGTCAAATGCAGAGGGTAAATTGCTCTATGGGGATAAATAAAGGGCACCTTGAATGAGTACAAGCTTCAGCACACAAAACATTCCAAGCCAACACCCGCCAGTACTAGGAATAATAATTATTTAAATCACCAGGATGTCATTTTTTGTTCCAGGCAGTTGGATCTTACAACACTAGACTTGAATTGATTAATCTAATTGTAAGCAGTGTCGTGACTCCTTATATTTTGCTGATAATTGACTTTGTGTTGTGCAGGCGGGCTCCACTCTGCCAAAGGTGCGTCTGTACGTAGTGGACACTTCAGATCCGTCCCGTCGCTCTGAGCTCGTGGCCCCAGCCTCGGTGTCCTCCACGTGTGTATTTCACATTTCACAGAATTATCTTTACGCTATTTAAATCCGTGGTGAAAATGTCACTTTGTGTTTTGTCTTTGCCAGAGATCACATTTTGGGCTCAGTGACCTGGGCGACAGACCGGCGAGTGGCGGTGCAGTGGATCACCCGCAAACAAAACTATGTGATCGTACAGTTCTATGAGTTGGATGGGAGCAGCTGGCTGGAAAAACAGGTGTTGTGTGTGGCAATGTTTTTTTACTATTTTATTGTACGCATAGATAATGGCTTAGATACATAGATAGATACTTTATTGATCCCTGTTGTAGTTTTAGACTGCACGTGTGACACCGCTGTGTGAGAAAGACCTATGATTCCAAATGTAATCTCTCTTAAGGGGGCTGCAACCATCAATTTGTATGTGATTTTTGACGCAGATTAGTGACGACGTATGGGGAGGTTATAATATAATACAGTTTATCCATATCTGATTATGTGATTTCCATAACATTATTTGCTGTGATCTATTATTACTTTGATTCACTTAGAAATTTGAACAAACAAGCACCACCGGCTGGGTCGGCCACGTAAGTGTTTATCCTCTTAAACAACTTTAGAAACATAATTACCTCCATGTTCATTAAGATGTGTGTTATTGTTTTGAAGTATGTTCCTCTTCCTCTCTTCTTTGCCGAAGACAAGATGAGTTTTTACAAAGTGATGAGTGACAGCAGAGGATACAAACACATTCATTACGTGAAAGATGTAAGAGTCATGTTTTTCATATTGAATTCAAATGTTTGGAGGACTTCATGTGACTGCTGTTTGTTGATTAGGGCAGAGCCACGCCCATCACCTCTGGAGAGTGGGAGGTGATCTATATCAGCAAATTAACCAAAGAAGCCATGTGAGGATCAAGCACACGTCTCGTTTTAAAGCATTAAAGTTGTAAATTGAATGTTATTTGGTGATCAACAATGTACCTGTCTGTCATGTTTCATTTGTCTACAGATATTTTGTGAGTAATCAGTATGAAGGCATACCAGTCAAGAGGAATCTATATAGGTAAGTTTGATTACTGAGTATCATATAACAGGAACATTTAATATACATTTAACATACAGACTCAACTTTGAAAAGAGTAAATTAAGAGTTAATTTGCAAAAACTGATGAGACTATATGTATACAGTATATATATACTCATACTGTATATATACATACATATACATATATATATACAGTATATATGTGTTCCTTACCGAGTCATTTTGTGAAGTAAATAAAGTTTCATCCCTTCTTGAGCAAATTCTTTCATCTTTACTGGTCCTAATTCTTTTTTTTTTTCCTTTATTGGCATACACAATATATTACAACATGGACAATCAAACACATTTGTACATATGAACATATATAAGCATTTACATAGGGTCAGGAGGGGGGGAAGGGGGGTTCAGCGTGCGTGCGTGAGCGCATGTGTGTGCGTGTTCACTTTTGGTTTATTGAATAGGTATCTGAGGGTGTTGATGTTAGTAAGAGAGGGGAGAAAGAAAAGAAAGAGAAAAGTAATAATAATAGTAAAAACATAGGAGTTAAGGTGCTATAATCCTAGCGAGGCGGGTGGTCGTAATGTTTACAGGTCCTAATTACAATATGGTGAAGATTGTAGCTCAAGGAATACAACTTTACGACAGACACTGTTTTTGCAATATGATCTATCACTAACACAAATGTATACAACATAATTAGTGAGTGACCAATTCATACCACTTAGGATTTTTATACAAACAGACATTTTGGCTCAAATGACATCTAATCAGCTGCTCACTATCGTGTTCTGCTGCTGTGTCGACACTTTGTTCTGGTTACTACTGTATAAGGTGACATCGATCAGTTTTCAATACACTTATAAAAATGGCATTTGTCTGTTTTGTTTTTTTATATCCTGCTTAAATGATGTTGTTCAGTAGAAATTATGCTTAGATCCAAATCAAACGTGAAAAGTGTGACACTCATTTTGTGCAATAGACGAAAACAAAGTAAACAGCAATGATTTATAAATAAATAATGTTTAAAGTATACCAGACTAAAAGACCGGAGCATTTAATGGCGGTGATGTTATTTGCAGGATCAGGATTGGCCCTTCACACTCGGCCCCGGAGTGTCTCAGCTGTGACTCACACACAGAGCGCTGTCAGTACAACTCAGCCTACTTCAGCTATGAGGCGTCGTACTACAGACTGGACTGCACCGGTCAGTTTAACATGTGCTGGTGCGATCATCAGTCATCAGTGTCTCTGTAATATTGTTTATTGTGACTGTGTGATGACCTGTGTGCAGGACCGGGGCTGCCGCTGTACACTCTAGTGGACAACAGAGGACCAGCTGTGGGTATGCACCAAGATCACACGCCTTTGTCCATATCAATTTGTTTCAAAGAATCTATAAATGTTTGAGTTTTCAACCATCTACATACTGTAGGTCATACATTGCATCACATATGAAATATTAAATCAGGTTGATAGTTATGTGTTTGACCAATAAAAGGAATAACTTCAGATGGCATTATTCATTCACTCCATACACAGTGGTAGCCACAGCTGCCCTGGAGCAGAGTGACTGAAGCCATTCAGTTAACCTGTGCTCTCAGCTCCTCCGACAACCATCACAAGTAATGTTTAGTAAGTAAGTATCTATGATTTATAGATTTGGTTGAAAATACAACCATGTACAGTATAATTTGAAGATGGTCAAGACCATCAACTTCAAACTGGCTTGGTTAAAACAACCAAAAAGCTGATTAAATATAACCTGTTTTAATTATATCTGTTTTCAGAGTTTTTACAATTGTGTATCTTCAATTAAATCACGCTATGATTATTTAAAAACAAAATGTAATGTCTCACTTTTACTACTGGGTGGGAGAGTTTTTCATTCTGACCATCTTGTATCTCATTATACATATAATCAATATATTTTGTACACCCGAAATTATTTCAAATTCTTGAACATAAAATAAATATTTACACGACTGTGATAAAGAAAAATTGCGAACTCAAATAATCCTTAGTATTTGTGCTCACATGCAATGTACTTATTTTTCACAGAGCTCTCTGTTCTTGAAGACAACAAAGAGCTGGAAAATGTCCTTTCAGAGATCCAAATGCCAACCATTAAGTATGGCACATTCAACGTTGCTGGATTTGGTAATATTATATCGAAGTCTTTGTGTGGTTAGAAATGTTCCATCTGTGTGAGGATGCTCCAGGTTCAAGCCGCTGGCAGTTTCTGTTCAGTGATGAAGACCATGGACTGTATGGATTGACGGTGCTAAACCGCTCTATAAAACATAATTTCCTCACTATCATTTATATTTTAAAGTAAACTCTTCTTGCCCTGTAATTGTTTCTGTCACAATCAAAATGTTGGGCTTAGTAAGGATGCAGAGTTAGTGCTGGATCATGCAGAGTTTACTGCTCTGCATGATCCTGGTGTTTATACTCTCAAACCCCTAACAATCAGGTGAAATCGACTTCAGCTAACAAACAAACAGTGAATAGTGCAGTCTCACTCCCGTCTGGCTCTTTGGTTGCTAGGTTGTTGCTATCCCAAATTTGGCTCCAGATTCTTGGAACCTTTTATAGGGAGCTCTAATTGGCTTCTTCTGTGATAGGGCAAACACTATAGGTGACATCAGCACTTGGTTAGCACACTCAAAAAAACTCTAATAAGCCATGCTCTAATAAGCCCACAAACTGTTGTAGTGTTATATTTCTCAACTCTTACAATATTTTTCTCTACAGACCTTTGGTATCAAATGATACTACCACCAAATTTTAAGAAGTCCAAAAAATATCCCCTTCTTGTTGACGTGTAAGTATGACTTTTGTAGGTATTACCTATGTAGGTAATTGTGTCATGTCTCTCGTGATCACATCCATTTATTTCCAAATGTTGAACTTGTTCTAGTGTTTTTTTTGGTTTCTATGAAAAATTCTTTAGTGTGCTGTGCTGTGTTAGGTACGGAGGCCCCTGCAGTCAGACTGTGTCCTATCGGTTCAAACTGAGCTGGGCAACATACCTCTCCAGCTCTCTGGACGTCATCTACGCCAGCTTTGACGGCCGAGGCAGCGGTTACCAAGGAGACCAGATCCTGCACTCCATCTACCATCGGCTCGGGACCTATGAAGTGGAGGACCAGCTCTTTGCAATCCAGTAAAGTCAACAAAACCAATTGTATTGTTTTAATTCCGTAAAACATTTTATTTTGTCAAGGAAACAATTGTATATAATCCAAAAAAATTACAAAGGGAAACATTATTCTTCCTAGTTGTGTTTAAACTGTATAAATGTGATATTGATGTATTGTCTATTATTTTCTGGCCTATATTTCATTTCTTTTCTACACTGTCCGAACAAATGAAATCTGGACTTTTTCAACTCTTGTGGAAGCAGCTAAAAAGACAATTGAGACTTAACGTTTTCATAACAACAATAAGATAGGATAAGATGTACTTTATCTAACAATAACAATGAAATGGTAAATCGAGTGTCTCTTGTGTTATAGGAAGTTCATTGACATGGGTTTTGTGGACAAAGACAGAGTGGCCATGTGGGGCTGGGTGAGTATGGAGGGCTGTTCTAATATTCTCTCAGTGACTTGAGATGGAAGTGTTGTTTTGTTTTGTTCCAGTCTTACGGAGGTTACGTGACTGCGATGGCTTTGGGCTCCGGCAGTGGCCTGCTCAAGTGTGGCATCTCTGTGGCTCCGGTGGCGGAATGGGAATATTATGGTATTTTCGCAAAATTAAATTTACCTAGTTTTCTTTTATTGTTGTGTAACTGTATAACTGAAGTTAAAATGACAGTATGTATGTGCCAGTGTGTGTGTGTGTGTGTGTGTGCGTGCCCGTGTGACCGTAGCACTGCTTAACGTTACATGATTTGTGTTTTTCCAGACGCGGTGTACACAGAGCGCTACATGGGCACTCCCAAAGAAAACCCTGACGCTTACAGAGTAAAGTCGGCCATTTTGTGCATTTGCCTCTGAAAACTTCCATTACGCCCAGACTAACCAAAGCTGTGTGTTTGAACAGAACGGCAGCGTGATCCGGAGAGCCAAAAACTTCAAGAAAGTGGACTTCCTGTTGATCCACGGCACTGCGGATGGTATGTGTGTCTTTTTGAACGCGCCGTAGCCGAGTGACCACATGTTTGCTAAAGTGTTTTTTTGCTTTTCCTCCGACACAGACAATGTCCACTTCCAGCAGGCCGCACAGATCTCCAAGGCTCTGGTCAATGAAGAAGTGGACTTTGAAACCATGGTAAATATTGGCCCAACCAAGTGCTTCTTGTATTGACCAGAATGTAGCAGTTTAGTGCACGTACGCCAGTTGGATTTACGAAATACTCATTGATTGGAGTAACTTTTTGTTGTCTTTTTTATAGTGGTACACTGACAAGAACCACTCGCTGCGGGGGTCGGCGTACCACCACGTTTACACTCTGATGAGCCACTTTCTGAAAAAATGCTTTGGTAAATCAGTGTAGACCTGTCGAATGTTTATCAGTGAAGAATGTGGATGTTTCTAGGTTTTTTTTCAATTAATTTTTTGATGTTTTGATTTACGCAAATGATGGCATTTTCATCACATGAAGAGAGTTTTTACATATTGTTACATTTCAGTTATAAATCAAATCTTTTTTTTTTTCTTCTTTTTTTTACAAACAATAAAGGTGAAAACAAAAAGGAAAATTACAATGTAGGGAAATTAACAAGAATTGAAAATAATGGACAAGCTCATTCTGTCATAATATAACATACCAGTCCAATCAAGGTGTTTAAAAGCTGCTATTGTATTGAATCTGTGAAAAAATGCACCATTTCCTTCAGGACCAATGAAGAAAAGAAAAAATTAAAAAATGATTTACGCTTTAAAAGACACGAGGTACCCCAGATTTTAGAATATTTTTTTCCTTACAAGGGGCACTTATTGTTATAACTGTTAATTAAAGTGATTAGATTATTTTTCACATAAAAACATGTTTCATTGATTACATTTGTAAGTAACAAGTCTATGAATGTTCAGTGAACTATGTTTTATATATTTTGACTACATTTCAAATAAAGAATTCCCAAACATTTCCAGACCTAAATAGAATACTGGAGACTATTTGGAAATTTCCACCCCTGTGTGACACTAGGATGGTCAGAGGTTTCCATGTGTCTGCTGCCTGCTGCCTCAGTCACCGGGGGCAACAGATCATCAGTGTGTGCCGATCTAAAGGCCGTGTGGACAACATTTAAGCCATATTTCAGAACATTCTCCACGGGGAAAGATTAATTCCAAGTATCTAGCACCTGATACAATAAAAGTTTGTGTCAGGTTTGTGGAGGTACAAGCCCACTCACTGCAAGGATGTTTTCTTACATTTCAGAATAACAGCCATAATGCAAACTCATGCATATTCTATTCTATTCTATTTTTTTATGGCAACTGAAGTGCATTCTGTAATGTTTCTGGATAACATGTCTGCAGTGTTTGTTTGCTTTGTGTGGAATGTTTCTCAGTATGGCATTGAACTTATAGTTTGTGTGAGAGTTCTTCCCTCTCCACAGATCTGACCTGTAAGCCTGCCTTGGCCTCGGGGTCAGCCACTTTGAAAGACTCCATGCACTTCTCTGCTCATGTAATTAATAAAGTCTTTCTCTCTTCAAATTCTGTAGTTCATTCTTTCTCTTTCTTAAACCAAAAGCGAGGTGAGCTTTAGCGTTTCCGTTCAGAGTCATTCATCTGTTTTTTTTTCCATCAAACAGAAGTTGGTTGTGTAAATATGACACCTACCCATGGCATAAGTGCTTTTTTTAGACCAGTCAAACATGGGAACTGGACCGAATCGGGCTGATTAATGGATCGAGAGTAACGGAGGACGTGTGTGACAAGAGGCGGTCACCTGGGATGTCCGCGCGCTGCTGTTATAAAAGTCCCACAGACCATGAACGCACCACGAGACCAACAGCAGAGACTGAGGAGACAGCACTGTACAGGGGAGACAAGGTGAGCACCCTTCACTTTACAATATACAATTATTATATTCTCTCATCATTCACTTGTTTGGTTCTTCTTTTATCTCATTTGTATATTTATTTTTTGCAGACGCTGCCACAATGAGAAGCACATATGGTTTGGCTGGACTTCTGCTCCTTGTTCTTGTGCAGTGCAGTTGGCAGAGACCAGACTCCGATGCAGAGCAAAACTCCATGTAAGATATTTTTATTTATGATCATTGCTTTAACCATGCTATATTATGTTTTTATCAAAGTTAAATTTAATGTAGTTTATTATACATTGGAAAAGTAAATAGTTTAATTATATTCTTGTTTCTCCACATTTTTTGAATAGTTTAATTATGTAACGATGATATTGTGGAATTTTTTTGAGCTGTGCTTTCAATTATGGAAAAACAATGTCAGAAAACAGTTTGATCTAAAACAATTCAATTTCACTTTTTATTTTGATAAAAAGCGTCTTTAAGCTTCTTTGAGTGTCCAAAAAAAGCATTATTAATATTATTATTAATATACTATCAATAGTAAATTTAAAAACGTACACGCATAAATTGTAATCCCCATGACATTTTCAAAACAATGACATTTATATTCAGCAAGGTATTACCTGGGTCAATCATTTAATGTAAGCTTTTGTTTTGTGTGGATTTGTCAGGCTTTTAGCAGGAAACTCAGAACCAATGGAGGCCCCCAGCGTGAAGAGGCATTCAGAGGGAACCTTCTCCAACGACTACAGTAAATATCTGGAGACGAGACGAGCGCAAGACTTTGTCCAGTGGCTCAAGAACTCCAAGAGGAACGGGTGAGTGTTAACGCGCTATATAGATAAACATTACTTACAAGAGAGTTGGGGATACTATAAATCAATAGATTTCAGTCCCGGCCTCACACCAGTGCACAACAATGGAATGAATGTTATTTGCTTGTGTCAGAAAGTAGATTTCCATTTTCTCATGAAATAAAGATCACAAATCTTGTAAAAGTTTTGTTTGAAGTTGGTGTACCTAACTTTTTAGTTGAAAAAATTATACATTTTATTTGTCACAACAGAAAGAGATCAAATCTGAACAAATCAGACCATGACATGCTGTCTTTTGATTTGAAAAAAAAAAAAAAAAAAAAAAAAAAATTACATATTGTTAGAAAGAGCCCAGGGATTTGGGCTGAGATCTGATTGGCTGCATGAAGGAGGTCTTCTCTTTTTCATTTGTCGGTCTGAAAAAGCTTATCTGAAGTTGTGACAGAGGCCAAAAATACATGAATGTAAAAACAAGTGATAGCACAAACTGTTTTGAGAGCAATTATACATATTTTTTTCTGATTTGAAGCTAGATACCCCAGATTTAAATTTGCATTCAAATGGCTTTTCCCTCTTTTCTTTTTGCTGATAGTTGAGGCTAATCACTATAGATGATGAATAGGAAAATTATGCTACATATTTATATGTACAGATTGAGAAATATTCAAACAACTAATTGACCACTATCATTTTAACTAGCAACAACTATGTGATGTTGTAAAAAACCCATTTTTATATAAGACTAATATTGTTTTATAGTATAAAACTTTAGATGGGTTTGAGTTTTCCTCCTCTCCTAGTATTTCCATCAGTATTATTTTATAGTTTAGCCAAACAAGAACAGTGCAAGTGAATAAACATTAATGTAAATGTACCTGTCTTTAGGGTTTGTGTTCATCTCTAAATATCACCGCTATTGATCTTGTATCAATTTATCAAGCTTTGAGAGCTCCTTTTATTCCTACACAGTTACAAGTAATGTGCTAAAACTTCCTCAGTTTGGAATAAGATTGAATAAAGGTTTTCTTAATAAATCGTGTATTCTTCAATTACTTTCCAGCCATAGTCAAAGCCAAAGTCAAAGTCTAAAGTGTCAGTCATAAACACATTAAATATGTGTGCATTCAAGTTCAATAAAGGTTATAAAGGGGTATGATTCTCGCTTGGAAGATGTCCGGGGTTAAAATCCTGGATCAACCCTCTTGCCCGTGGGCCAATTTATTTGTCTTTTTTGTCATTGCTATTGCATTAATTGACTACTGATTGTGCTCCTTCAGCTTATTCAGACGCCACGCAGACGGCACATTCACCAGCGACGTGAGCTCGTACCTCCAGGACCAGGCAGCCAAAGAGTTTGTGTCCTGGCTGAAGACAGGCCGGGGCAGACGGGAGTAGAACCATCGTCTCCAAAGCCACAATAAACCACTACTGCTATGTTTCTGTCTCTGCCATCTCTGTCCTTTCATTTGTAATTTTGTCGCCATCTGATTGTCACACATCACAAATGCAATATGTCACAATTGTTTTCAACATCTGGGATCCATTTTGTTTGCTCAAAGTGCATTTGACAGGTTATTATGGTTACATCTGGCGGCATAATACCTGTTTTTAGTTTTTTCACAAATATAGCCAAAGTTTGTGATGATAATGTTTGGAAAGGTGCTTTTGGCATAAGCAGATGTGCATTTGGAATAAGCAATTCCTTAGTGGGATGTCTACAATCAAGAAGCAAAATTGTAAAGCCTACGGTGATAACATTTGAAATGTGTTTTTGTAAAGTCCAACCTGTCAGAAGCACTTTATCCAGAGTATTTGTTTTAACGTCATCTTGTCACATGATCCATAATCGGAAATGACTGTAGATAATCAATACTATCTTTCTTATTCATAAAGTCATATTTAGTTTTCAATAAAGAAACCTGAATAATCTTTGACTTCATCAAGCGTCTGATGAACATAACTGCTACTTAAAGCTGGGGTACCTAACTTTTTTAACCACAACAATGTTAATTATGTATAAAAATGTATGTAACTAGTTTCTTGCTTTCACCACAGTTTGGGTCTCTTGCTAGATTTTTACATGCATGCGTCTAGATCAGATTTTTCAGGACAGAAAAATGAAACCGAGGGGACCACGCTCACCTCAGCCAATCAGCTGTCAACCCAAAGCCTCCAATATTGGTTCAGAGGGCTCTTGGCAAATATACAAAAGACGTGTTCTCAGATGAGACAAGACTGCATTAGGATTACTATTGCAACAACACATCCAAAACTTTTTTTTAGAACAAACAGGAAATTAACTTAGGTACCCCAGCTTTAACAAACAAAGCTATTGAGTGTGATTACTGCTGCTGTATGTGCCGTCTCTTAAACACAGTGGACATATGCCTGAGGGAGGCTTATCCACAGGTGACAGCGTGATGTGTGGCACCTGTCATGGACGAGACTTGGATCGGTACTGCCCACGTTGACAGCAGCCGAGGCAGGTTGTGCTTAATGGAAGACGGGGGAGTTGGCTAATCAGAGACCCCCGCGACAGGGACCGGCTCTGGGGTCAGCGCTCTGCAGTGGTCCCTCTTGGCATCCAGACAGAACCGTAATTCAGCAGGGCCCGTGCGGTGACATGCTCTGGGACGTGATGCCTCGCTCAGCTGTCAAACATCAAACCATCTGCTGAGGAAGAGGAGGGAGGCTGAGGAGAGGGAGAGTTCTGGGAATTGGATCAAAGAGTTGGTTATGCGTTATATTGATTTTCTCTTCAGTTAAAGCTGCAGTACTAAACTTTCAAACAAAAACAAAAAAGTGAATTTGGATAACTAGTTCTGAGGTCTCATAAGTAATATAAGATCAACTTTAATGATCTGACAATGAAGAAATGTACAAGTTGGTTCTATCACTATTTTCCTCTGTCAAACCTTTAGATCATCTTTTTCAGACACAAAAAAAATAATGAAAAGTGAACTATCAAATGAGAAAAAGATGAAGGCAGCATGTTGTGAATATGATTTGTTCACATTCTATTTTTACAAGACTCATTCTGCTTGTACAGATAACTTCATTAGGAAAAAAAAGTTTGGTACCTCAGCTTTAATCCATGAGAATATATCATATGAACATAGAATAATTTCTGCAACAATTCTTAATTTAAAACAGATTGTAAATATGTAGACATGATAAGACTATATTTAATCACTGATACATCTCAGAGTGGCTGGAAATACAAGGATTAAAAATATGTATTTCAAATGTTGACATCACTTACATAAATATAATACATTGTTTGAAATTATAAACAAAATACAACATTAGGGAAAATAGCACATCTCATAATGACAATAAAATCCTCCAAGTCCAACCCACACGTAAAGTGCTTCTTTCAAATGATACAAACAAACATTTATTTAAAATACAGGATGTCACGAGTAAACATATTTATGTAGTTCTGTGCATTTATGTTAAGTGCTTCAGTGAATTCAGAACCATCTGGAAACTGTAGCTTGAAGTGTAACACACAGTTTATGGAGACAAACAGGGGCGTCCAGACTTTTCCACTCGGGGCGAGAACAAATCCAGGAGTGGCTCGTTCTCTCACACAGGAGCTGAAGAATGTGACAAAGAGAAATAATTTCACAATAAGAATGGGAATTATCTTTTATAGTATAAAAATAAACTTGATCTATAGTGTCTAACCAACACTGGTTTGTTTTCTGAACAGAGACGATTGCTTTCTGATTAATTAACGATTGATATAAAATTGCTCTGATTTTCTAATTGCCCTTAAATGAAATAAAGCATTTTTCCTAAATATAAAAAATATAGAAAGTATTGATAATAATTGCTATTGACTGCACATATAAGGTCTTACCAAAAATATTGTGACATACACATCTCTAGCTCTTCCATGTGCTTCCAAAAGAGCCTTTAGACATCTCATCAGTGATGTTGATGACGGGTATCCCTCTGTTAGAAACACAACTGTTATACATACAAACATGCAGAACAAGTATGAATAAATAACTATGGAAGCGCTCACTTGTAGCCATCTAAAGGAACTTGAACCACTCCATCTTCCTCTGCCATAATAATGCTCTGCTCCTCTTCCTCCTGCAATAAACACAAGACATATCAAAAACGGAAAATAATGAAATCATTACTTACTTTATTGAATGCATTTTGTTTAGTGTTGCCAGCTCTATAGCTAATATAAACACTTTGAAATCACTACTGATCCATGTGTGTCACACATTTGAATATAAAAATGAAAAAGCCCATTATCAATGTTGGATCCCAGGATATTTTACCTCTTCAGCATCTTCCAGTTTTTTTTTCTTGCTTTCTGGCATGAGGTCGTCCAACCAGCTCAGCTCTCTCTTACTGAAGATACAGTCCATCAACTTCCTGATAAACACCAATGCCAAAACCTACAATAGGACAAATAGATACAAGGCTAATCACACATGCTTTCATAATGTAACCACTGAATGTCACTCGATGAAAGCATTTGTCTTCAAACCATCATGGGAAAGACGATGGCGGCCCGAGACGTCTTGATGATCCACAGCAGAGCCAGGCAGGTCAGCTGGATGATGGTGAAGAGGTGCACTTTTCTCAAGGGCACGTGTCTCAGATAAACAAAGTCCGGCTGGTGCTTGGCCGGCATCCCAAACAGAGTCAGGCGGTCGAAAAACTAGTGGATAAAACAATAAACAAAAAGTGAACTTAATGATTGACTGACTTGAAAATAAGTTAAAGTAACAATGGTACGTTAAAGCAGTTGAATGATGTAAGTTTCATTGTCACTTTTTGGTAGAAAGTTCACCTCAACTTCAAAAAGAGTCAAACTCTAAAGGGTTCTTTGACAGATTCAGTTTTATATTTTAAAGTTTTAGAGAGATGGTCAGGATAGAAAGACAAGCAATTAAACAATCCCATGCAGCTGAAACCTCTCAGCTGTAAGCACCACTAAACAGAACAAAAGTTTATCTCACTACTTATGGATTTCAGCATTAGTTTGAGTACCTAATCATTCCAACCATCCCAATGCATATATTGTTTATAGCTTTGGAAACAGTCCTAATGTCTCATTCTAGGAATCCATGGAGACAAGCACAAAACACGGCCAAAATAAGTAATAAGTCACATCTGTGGATGTTTATAATTAAAGCAAATTATACGTATTACTATATACTTGCCAAAGGTTCCATTTGAAACCATAGAAGGTATGGCCTCAGAATCAGGGAAAAACAAGAATCAAGCGAAGCAATTAAATAACAATCAGGTGTTCTGCTAAACGGGAACACACTGGAGGCCAATTAACACTTGTGCGGGCAGCCAGACGATGGGGAAGCCATCCCTCATTCATACCCCACGGAGGAGATGCCACTTAATACTGCCATTCTTAAAGGGGAATTACCTTTTTGTCACATCATAGTATTTACAAAAAGACTGTACCAAAATATTTTAACATTAATTCTATTTTTCCTGTATAGATGATTACTGAGAATTAGAAACATCAGCAATTCAATTATGATTCGAAATTACTTTTACATGTCTTTAAAGAAATCATATGTCGTCTGTTCGCTAGGTTGATACAACTATATTGTGCAAAAGTGTCCATTTCTGGCTTTTAATCCTGTTACAACAATGAAAAAACAGATGTGCAGATACCTGGATGCCTCTGAGGGAGGACGCCCCCATGTAGAGGAAGACGCCATACAGCACTGGCATGGGGATGAACTGAAACACAGCACTAGCATCAGTCAAAGCTGTCACACAGGAACATCCTGAATCATTTGGAAATGTGATTAGATTCAAAATTAATGTTTGAAAAGTCATCTTGTTCAGTGTTCAGAAAAAATAAGAAAAGAACTAAAAACAATATTTCAATCACAAATAACATGCCTTAATAATAAATGTCTTGCTTTGCCAAACTAAAAGGTAACACCAAAACAATCCTCGCTTGAAAAGGGGAACATGCTTATACTCTTACATAAGACAAAACTACAAAATATGGTAAATATCATTTTATAGTGTATCCTGGAAGTCTGACTTTTCCCACTTTTCCCACTTACTATAGTCATGAGGAAGACTGACAAATATATTTTTCAACTGAACTCAAATATAATTTTAAATCATTATCTAATGAAAGCACTTACTTATAAACCAATTGTTTTAAATGTGGTGTGGCTTGATCTTGTCCCAGAACACACCTTTAAAGCAGAAGTCATGAAAACGGAGCAGCCCATGAGCACAAAGATCATGAGGCCAGTGACGCGCTGCTCTCTGATGCCCAGGAACTTAGGCTGCTCCCCAGGGGCCGAACACTCCGACTCCAGCTTCAGACTGTTGACGTGGGAGATGGAGAGGACCGTGGCTGCCACAAACCAGGGCAGCCCCATGAGAGAGCATACCCCCAGCATGATGCCCACCATCAGCAGGTCCAGGTGGTACCCGCCGCCTTTCTGCACACCAGCAAAGAACACCATTCGTTATTGAGTAGACGTGAGAACCAAAGTTTTATTTGCAAAGTAGCTTATATGAAATGCCTGCAGTCAGTCACTCGGAAACTTGGTTATTTAGTGAGAAAGGGTTATTTACTAGGTTTTTTCCTGCCTTTAGTGATTATGAATGATAACACAAACTCTTTTTCCCCAAATCATCGAGATGTGTGAAGCCATATATTGTCAAATACACTTGTTTTCTATTTTCAAATTATAGCATAATTAAGCCACTCTCAAATGTGCACTCCATGAAGATCTCAAGTGTGCAGTTCATCTTGTGTCAAGAACAATGTGCAGCTTTAACATCAGAGAAGTTAAACCACCAAAAAAGGTGCCAAGCTGTCATGGATGTTGAAGGAGCAATACGCGTTTTGAGCACCAGGAGGATCATTTGAGACATTTCTGTTGACTGTTGTAAATGTGATGGATGAAAATCTCTTGTTACGACACCTTGAGTTTGTGCTCTTTCCGGTTAATGATGACGGCGGTGATCTGCTGGTCCATGAAGATGAGGATGGTGCAGAGCAGAGCAGGGATCAGAGTGACCAATGCTGTCCACCAGGGGTTTGGACCAATGGGGTTTATGAACCAGCCCCGGTCATCTCTGGTGGGCTGAGGACAAATAAAAAGAAAAGTACTAAAGACTTCAAGATGTCAAAAGTTGTAAATATTGCTTTGGGCTAAGCTGGAATGTGGGGACTAATGAATACAAGACTTACCGGTACTAAATATATAATTACCATGTTCTTTTCTCTGGAAAACCAATATTTTTCAAAAAACAAAAAGTTTCAAAAATAGTTGGAGTTTACTAGTCTTTTAGAATAATAATATTCAAATAGCTCAAAGATCATTCAGGAAAACATAATAATATTCCCCTATGGCCTTCCACAAACTGACATGTTAGTGAACCAACTTGTCTCTGAGGAGCACAGGGACTGGCCTCTTGCTGGTGCCCAGAGTCCCTAAACATGGGGGGTCATATGTATTCAGCGAAAACTGCTGCATGTTCATTGCTTTGTAATAATGATTAGTGACTTCTGTGTTACTTTAATTACTTTAATTACAACAGTTAAAGCTTCACTATTCACTTCACTATTTCTGAAATAATAATTAAAAAAAAGATCTTACCTTGAACACACTTGGAACTTTGAGTTTAGGGGAGGGAATCCCCAGTGCGTAGTCAATCAGCACCATGGTCATGATGGTGATGAACACAGCGAAATCACTGATGATTGCTCTCACCTAAAACACATCAAACTGCAGTCACGCTACAGACCACAAGAGGCCGCCACATTCCCATGATTGCAGGGATAGTAGAAGGAAAAATAGACACAGTACCTTTGTGGGAAAGTAGTTTCTGAATTTGAACTCTTTGAGGAATGATGACATGAGGACAGTGGAGAAGAAGAGGACCACGCACCAGAAAAGCACGTCTGGGACATAGGGGCCGTGGGGTCCACAGGCGCTGCCCACAAACTCTCCCCGAAGTTTCATGCAGCCCTGGACGCACAAACACAGGTCAAATAATCCTTCTACAGAAATATATACTTGTGAAAATGTGCTCTCACTGTAATTTGGTGAGTAATCCTTTATAATCCTGTCTATATATCTTTAATCTCACTCTCTCTGCTCCATCTGGAAAGCATGTCATTTACGGTTGTAGTTGTAGCTGTAAAGTGACAAATGGAAAGGCTAAATGTATGAGTACAATTCCAATACAAGGTCATTCAAAAATAAGAAAAATGTGCACTACATTTATTGTTTTATCTGTGTTGGATTACTGGATTATTGTGTGGTCTTGTAGACATTGACAAATCACAGCTCTTTAAAGTCCTTTCAATCAATTTTTTATCTAAATATAAACAAATAATCAGCTTTTAGGCATAAAGATCCAGTTATAATAATAATAATGATAATTTAAAACACATTTATAAAAACTAGGATTTTCACATTTGTCTTCATCCATAAAAACAGAAAGTAAACCAATTACAAATAATACAATGATAATGTATTAGCAGAGACCACAAATAACTGCACTCAAGTATTTTTTTAATGTTATAACTCTCACTTTAAAACCAAAATTTCTTTAAATTTTCTGGGTCTCCCTTCAGTTCAGATAACAGTTTATCTTAATTTCTATATATTATGTTTTACTTTCTTATTCTCTTTCAGTATGACACATTTCTTCAATGTTATGTGATTAAAATGTTTTAATGTCTCAAATAAATATATTGTCCGTCAATATTCAACAGAGATAAATTATATTTTTTTACACACATGTAAGTTTAAACTTAAGTTTTTACTAGTATCTATAATTGTATTACCCTTTTCCATCTCATTTTTATTAGTATTTAAATATCTATCAATACCCTAGTAAATACGTCTAAATATCAATCATATAGCACACATCCTAATCGTGCACACTAATCATGTCCAGAGAGAAAGCTATCCATTTAAGAACTTAGAATGTCATGATTGTTTGTTAAATTCCCCAAACATAGAGCATAACAAGGTTCTCTAAAGGAGCTCTTACATCTTTTAGATACTGTGGTGAAATGTACATGAAATGCCTCCACAAATGCCCGCTCTCCTACCTCCAACATACTGTATGTACCTTGACATCCAGCGCCTCCCAGTAGATTTCTGTGGGTGTGATGTTGTTGATCTGCCAATACTTGAGGGTCCCATTGGAGGGGTCAGTCGGCTCGACACAGGAACATCTGTGTGACACACCCGGACATCTGGATGAACCAATAATCCTGCATCTGTCATGGATTTACTCATTCTCTGAACTCTCCAAGAATTAACACGTAACTGTGGGCTGTTTCCGGCCTAATTTGACTCACGCGTATGTGGTGAGCTTGTCCAGGTTGTTGTTCTTGTTGAAGGGATAGTGGTCTCCGAGGTGGAAAAGCTTCTCCAGCGCTTCGTAGATGAAGATGATGCAGATGAGGGACGCAAAGGCCTCCTCTGTGAATCTGGTGATGTAGCGGACGAGCGAGCTGGCGTCCGTGGCAACCAGGAGGATGCAGAGAAAGGCGGTCCACAGGCCGATGCACGTTCTCAAGGACAGATAGGACAAGCCGTAATCTCTGTGTGAGAAGTGTCATTAAATATGATGCAGCGCCAATGGAAACGTATGATTCTATTTGATGGGACTTGGTGGGTAAAAATGTGCAATAACCTGTTTAGTGCAATCGTTCTACTATTCATATTTGTACATGTCATGTATTTATTATCGTGTAAATTAGACTAGCTTTGTTTTATGTTTTTTTAATTTGTTGACTTTTGTCTATATTTATTGGCAAATATGCATAAATACTCTGTTTATGACACTCAAAGATATTTGGCATTGTGTTAATCATTCACTGTGGTGGTAAACTATCACATAAGGCACATCTACACCTACAGTCCACCTTTCTTTCAGTACACAAACAGAAGGGGTAGGATTTCTTGTGAACTGCACCACAGTATGGAAATCCTGGCGGAGGGTCCGTAAATGAGAAACATCACTTAAATCATAATGTGGCTGTAAAAGAGCACATGCAAATGAAACAAAATGCATACTTGCAGAACTTGAACAGTATCTTCTCAAAGACGAGCACTGGCCCTGTGCTGCCCAGGATAGTGAGGGGCTGCCCCGCAAACAGTGAGTAGGCGATTCCAGTGAGAGAGGCTCCGAACAGTGACTCAATGGCACTCTGAAAACAAGAACGGAAAAAGACGTAATATGGATTGAGTGTAGGAAGAGCGTGGAAAAAAGTGCAGAGAGAGTATTACTATGCGTCCTTCTGTAGCTTCACCCAATAAACCCCCAAAGGTGATGACGGGCGACATGCAGGCACAGTACAGGAACAGGAAGGAGGCCACGCACTGCAGACTGAAAGCATCTGTGTAGTCCGACAGGTAGTGAGGGATCTTCCGTTTAACGTCCAGGATCACACCACCGAACCACCTGACAAAAATCATCAAAACTTTATATGCAAACAAAGCCAATAGATGCACAAGTTATTTATTTCTATAGATTGTAATTTAACCAGGAAAGTCCCACTGAACATACGCAGACACAGGGAGCATGCAAACTGCATTTAGAAAGGCCTGTCTGGAGATGAAATTGAAGAACTCTTCTTTGGTTCTTTAATTTCAAAGAGATTTTCACAGTATGGAAATAAAATGATTGCAAAAGTACTACATAATATTTTGCATGTACTAAAATGTTTTTACTGTAATGCTGAAATAACACAAGCCCAAAATGAAAAGATAGAGGGGAAACCACAGACAAACATGGGAATCAGAAAAATACATCTACAAATAGTTGGAAGGTTTGAATGCAGACTGTGGTCCCAGTAACCCCCGAGCTCAGGTACCATGCAGGCTTGAAGAAAGATGTAACGCTATCCAATAATAAAGTGTCCAGGAGTTGAACCTGAACATATGTACTTAGAAGTACCCAGAGTTTGTCTAACTTGTTTTTTTCTTGATTGCGTCTCTGTACTGCTCTCCTTGACTTCAGATTAGTGTGAGATGTCTCTGCGATGGAAAAGTTGAGCTGATAATAGAGAACTGGAGGCAGATGGTTCCCATAGAAACCGCACTTCGACTACAGACCAAATTTACCCAGAGAAGCCCACACTGGACTGGAGTGCACTATTTGGGAAAAGGGAGCCTTATGAAAGCACTAGACCAAACTGCAGGGATTACAGCATGCACTATGCACTAATATGGGTAAAATAGGTGCAAGATATTGATAACAAAGGTGTCCCTACCTGCCAGTCCGCTGCAGTTCAGGACATGCATGGCCGTTGTCTGGCTCTTCCTCTCCCTCTGCCAGTCCATTTGCCAATAAATTGTTTTTCTTTCTCTTTTCCTGTGAAACAAAATGCATTTTCTTTTTATTTTGTATCTCTTCTTTCAGTGGTCAACAAAATCAAATAAGCAAGAAAAAATTTACATTTGTTGATACAGGCCCGAAAGAGTTGATGTTGAAGTTAAACACTACTTTCACCTAACCCTAAGCATCTTACAAGTCAGCTTCACCGGGCTTGAGAGTAAGCTGTGAATTGCAAACCTGAGAAGGTACATTCTTTGGAGGCTCAATTCGAATGGAAGGGTCCCATTCCCCCGGAGGCAGCACCGTCACCTGGTCCAGGAACTCGTCAATCCCAGCAATGAGATCATTGCGGTCCTTAGCTTTATACGCAACATCACTGAAGACCTTCAGGGAAGCAGAACCCATTTAGTACATTTTGGCAATTTGTTGTAGAAACCATATACTTGTACTTATCTTCATTAAACAAAAACAACAAAACAATAAAAGGTTTCGTTTTCCATCAATCCAATGCTCTTGAAATAAAAACTTGCAAACCCTATCATCTGATTGTGGATTCTTTACCCACAGCTTTCCTGATCCCAAGAAGCCATTGCCCAAGATCCCAAATTATATACGAACAACAGAAATACGTACCTCATCGGTCATGAGTGTTCCAATAGACCTTCCAATCTCTCGATATTGAGGTCCTCTTGCAATGGGACCCAACAGAATGAATATAAATCTATTGACAAAAATATGGTTTAGTAAATTCAGCACATATCTGTTGTGGATAATAGACAGACCTTGTGGCAATAGGGACTTCTGTCATTCCCACCAGAAGAACTGCAGGGCACAACCGCACAAATGCCACCACTGGTTTATTCAGAAAGTCCAGCTCCCCCACAAGCACGTTACAGGCCTCTGCTCCAACTGGAATCTTTTTCATGAAGTGGATCTGCGAATGATGCATACAGTAGGTCATTAATCATTACTTCATAAAGTACATTGATGACACATAGCAACAATGAATTGAATGAAGGGCAGAATGTCAGAATTGTAGAACATATTAGTAAGTAAGTAAGTAAGTAATCTTTATTTATGTACCGCCTTTTGCAGACCAGAGTCAAAAAGTGGTTTACAATTGTTATTTTTATGTTCAATTGTTATAATTGTTATGTTATATTCAAAATAATATAAAATAATCCAACTTCAACCACCACATCATCCACTAACAATGGTTTCCCAGCACAAACTTTGTCTTCAAATACATTGAACTCATCCATGCATCCGCTTTAAAATAATCAGAAGGGAGCTTAGAAAAGTAAAGTGGAATTCACTTTATCTCGAAATCAATAAGACAAGAAATATTTCATTTGTAAAATAACATACACCGCTCTTTTAAGCAGCTTTGTCACAACAGTCATTCCCAGGCAGTACTTTATATCTCAGTGGCATCCAGGCCTAAAAATAGCCCTGACAGCTCAACGTGAAAGATCACCCCAAAAATAACCTACATTGAAGAGTGAAATATTCCATAGGATGAAGACTCGCTGACCTGCTGCATTATAAAGATTTAAATATCAGTGCAGCAGGATGATGCTTAGAGCCACAAGGACAGATCCTCTTGCATTACTGAGTGGTCTGGACACTGGTGGACATTGTACAGCCATCCCCACATGACAAAGTGTTAATTTTTCAGTGATAATTAAGTGACTTGACAAATGTTGACTGGAGTGTTGTTTGCTTCACATACACGGCACGGTTTAGACTCATCCACTGGGGCAGAAACGCCACATGAGCTCCTTCCAGGACACTTTCTATACAGCGACCATGGCTTCCCACTAATGTTTCCTGACGTCTTTTTCTTTTTTAAATTTAACTCCGCAATTGAATCTGAAAGGGATTACGTAGCATATCTGGTGGTAGGTTATCAAAAACAGATTTGTGTATGTGGAGAAAAGCAGGTGATCTCAGCCCACAAATTGTGTCCATCAAAGGGGTAAAAAAAATGTCATTAACGTTTTTGTAATTCACACAACACATCCATCTACATTTGGTAACTTTATCTTGAATTTACTTTAAAATGCATAATTTCCTCATGGATAATGAATCTAAAATAGAGTGAAGGATTAGATATTATTTTAAAGGATGTAGATAGACATAGACATTAAATAAAAAAATAATGATTGTGAGGGATATTTTAATTGGACGCTTAAAAAACATGTTAACATAAATACTAACACCTGTATTACATGTGTATTTCCATCCATCCATCCATTTTCTTCCCCTTAATCCATTTCTGGGTCGGGGGGTGGCAGTCAGAGCTGCACCCAGTACACTTAGCACCGGCCAATGTGTATTTCCATTCGTCTTTATTTTACTTTTTTCCTTTATGTAGATTTAAGTATTAATACATTTCCAAACTAACTACTGTTATGTTTGTAACTCAAAATACACCAATTTATTGAAACAGCATTGTTTCAATTGAGTTGGGATGTGTGGCGGTTATCCCAGTTCAACCTAAAAATAATTAATAATCTGAATGAAGAATCACGTTAACAATCGACTTGAAGAGATAAAAACAGGCGACAGATTTCTCAAATGGATCTGACTTTGTGACATGACATGACTTGTGTTATTCAATGTTGTTATAATCCTAATCCCTGCTTTATTTCAGTTGGTTGTAAAACGCTTTGTAAAATCAATGACTGTAAATGTGTCTGAGGGAGGCTGTACCTTGCTCAGGTCCAGGCAGCTGCCTTCTCGGCTCACATCACCTTTTCCATCAAGCGCTGCTAAGTGGCACTGCGATGCATTCAACTGACCTGCACCAAAACCAACTTACAGATCAAATACATGACCATAACATTTGATACTGGTAAAACAAAACAAATACACTGTGGGTATTTAAATGGGTAGAACAATACTCCGATATGCTGGCCAATTAGAGTGATTCAAAATGGCCGCGGGGGCTGGAAAAAGTGAAAAAACGCATCTGCGCGTGCGTCAGCCGGCACAAGCCCCATTCATTTAAACGAGTGACTTCAAAAATTCACAGCGAGTAAACTAGAGTGGTCCAAAAACAATCCACTCCCCTCAGCTTTGACACACATGTGGAACGGAGCTTTGGGCCAAGAGCCAACTTTTGGACCATCCTGTAAAGACGTTTTCGAGAGGTCAGCTAATGCTATATGTTAGCATTGGCTAATTCTTATTCTGGATCCACCCCCATCGGCCCGGGGTGGTATTGCAAGCATGTCAGCGCACGTCATTTTGGCCACTTTTGAGCCGGGACCCGCCCGAACTGGTTGGGCCTTATAACGGACAATTAAACTATATTTTTTACAATTTCTCATGTCATTGATCTGTAATAAACTGAATAATAGTAATTTTCCAGTGCACCTTTCTGGGCAGGGAAAACTACGCTCAATGGAGACGCAGATGATGTGAGGTCTGACTGTAGGCAGCAGCGATATGTTCTACAGCTATTAACATATAATCAATAACAAACTAGGGGTACTTTTGGTGAACTTACTTAAAGTGGTTCTCACCCCCGCTCCTCGGAGCTTACGTTACTCACATTTCCTGTTCAAATCTTCCTCTAAATGGGCGTAGCCTGGAGGACTGAAGGGGGCGTGAACGAGACTGGGCCGTTTACATTGCTCTGGGCGGGGGGCTGCTGACGTCAGGTCCAACTTGCAGACGTCAGGTCCAACTTCTGTGCCAGTGTTGGCGCCAGATTCAAAATTCAAATGTAGTAATACAGGTCGCCAGCAGATGGCGCCTCACAGACGGTTTTAGGCAGAAAGTCTAACTTTCAACTAATTTGCACCAAAGTGACAAAATTATGACCAGGATATGTAGACAACACTATTGGACACTCATTTATACCGTTTATCAGCAAAAAAAAAGTGGATTTGAGGGTGAGTCGTCCTTTAAAACTTTGTTGCCAACTAGCTAATTAATAATGATAATAATGCATTTGTTTTATATAGCGCTTTTCAGACTTTATTTTTTCACTGCATGTTGGTGATAAAGTACTACTGTAGCCACAGCTACCCTGGGGTAGACTGACAGAAGCAATTCAACTAATGTGAAAACAGGCAGAGTAATTAAGTGCTATTGGAAGGAAAACTTAAAAGTATGGGAAGACATGTAAGGAATAGAAATACATCAGTAAAATCCCAATTCCATCCCTAAACTACATAAATATGTCCAGACAGACAGTGAATCCAAAAACGCACTCACTCACTGCGCTGAACCTCAAGTCCCTTCACAATTTACCGTTCTTGTCGAGTTGGTGCTCAGAGGCGCGTCGGCCCATGTCTGCGAAGGAACGCACAATGGGCAGTCTGTTGGCCAGAGTCTTCTGCTTCTGATGGTGATGCTGCTTCAGGAGGGTCTCTCTCACTCTGAGGCGCACCTCGTTTCCCAACGGAGAATACAGATCCTGGTGGTCCAAAACCATATCTGACAAAGACATGAAGAAAAAACAATGTACTACGTAGAGACATAAATTCTTCACAATGTCATATGGATAGACCTACTTGACCGGGTTTCTGCAGGGGTGGAAAAATTAAATTTGAAAAAGGTAAATTACAGTAAAATACCAAAAAAAGTAGTATAAACAAGGATGTTCTCTTTGTGTACTACAATTGCAGCTCCACTGCAACAGAGAAAGAGATTCACATTAAAATGTAAGGCTTGCACTTGGATCAGCTTAACTTTATAACAGGGTTTTCCATCCACTTGTTGTTTCTTTGCTTGAAATGTACCTCAATGTACCATGATATAAAAACATATGTATGTTATGACATACTGGTCGAGGTTGTGTGTAGTGCACTGTACATGATACAATGGTGTTTTAAAGCAGGAACAAAAATAGGGCATAGACATAAAAAATGTCTCCATGTCATAAAATCCATGTATTTTGGCAGTTTGGTTCTAACTAGTTTTCATAAACAGTATGCATCATAGTTCATTTTGGACACATCTTTCAATAGAGGACCACTCTATCAGCCAAACACTCATGGTCTTTTTTCTAGTAAGACGCAGAAAGCATGTTGTGGTCTGATCTGTTCACTACCTTTTATTATCATTGATGAAACAAAAAGGGTGAAGTACTCCAACTTTAAGTCAGAACCTTATATAAATAAAAGAACATATAATAACCAACAAAGAGTGTATCCTTTGTATCAAAAGTTACCTGCGATCTCCTCGATGGTGTTGGCCCTCATGTCCAGCAGCACGGTGCCATTGATGATGCAGCTGCGCAGCTCAAACAGACTGTGCAAGGACAGCGTGGCCACGTAGGGCTTACTCCAGCGCTCCCCTCCATCCTCCACGTCCTCCTCAAATTTCAGCCACCTGCAAAGCACCAGTGAGAGCCAGCAGATAGAACACGGCCATCTGTGCAGTGCCAAGGAAGTGTCTCAATCACGCTCAGTCCAGCATTTAATATATCTGCTTTGGCCTTGGTTTTACTCGTTTAACTGCATTTTGCTTGTGATGTTTGGCTGTAAATAAAATATGTTTGATCTTGTGATGCTTTTATGGTATGTTTTAGATGCTTGAGTGTCTGTACAATAATGGATTATTTCCATTGTGCTAGAAAACAGTAACACAACTGATGACACAATTTGTCAACTTAATAAAAAATATGAAAAAATAACCACTGGTAAATGGTACTTTACTTTATTTGTAAGAAATATTTATTTGGAGAAAGTTTCAGAACGTTTATTAATAACAGTGCGAATACTGGATTAAATTATCTTAAAGTAAAAATACTGTGTAAACATGGCAAAAACATCCTTCATAAAATGTCAGTTTCTATGGTGTTAACCGTCAACAAATAACAACTGATATCTGATTCCTTTAACTGGATCCATTTTGTTTTCAAATGATGCTGGTCTCCCCTTTTGGCATGGTTAATTTGGTGTTTATGGCTTCTATGAAGCAGTAATTCAGTGTATTTTAAGTTCAGAGTGGTAAGGTTCTGAGGCCAAAGGGATTAGAAAGACTTAATTTAATTTAATTGAAAGTGACCATCCCTCTCATCAGCATAAGTGGGATCACAGCATGACCAATGCATTCAATCACATTTACAGTGAATACATGTAGGTCACTCAGAGTGTAGGTGCAACAGCTGTAGTAATATGACAACAGGCAGTACCGGGCACTCTCTCTCCAGTCGCCATCGTCCCCGTCCTTCACACAGATCTCATCCATCTCTGTGAACAGATCATGTGGTGTGTGCTCCTCGTCCTCATCCTCCACCCCCAGCAGAAACTGGACTCTCTGTGATGGTGTGTCTGCAAGCAAAAAAAATTACACTCGTATTGAAACAAATACAAATAGTGGTGTGTCTGAGGTTCTACCATAAACAGGAGACTCGCTACCCTCGACCAGGGTGGGTGCACGCTCCATGCTGCGTCTCTTGTGGTGCCTGCTGCTGTGGTGTCGGTGTCTTCGGTGACTTCTCTGCCGCGTACTGCCCAGGGGAACGTGCACGCCAATGTAAAGAGTCCTGTGTCCTGTGGAGGAAGCAAACACATGAGAGGTTTTGCAAGTGGTCAAGATATTTTGTTTATTATTGAAGTGTCCTGTATCCTTCCAAGGATATTGTAGTACATAACCTATAGCACAAGCTTATTTATGTAACACTGGTTATTTCATGAAGAAGAAATAAAATAAAATTCTCCTGTAGAGCACAGACCTCCGCCAAGGGAAGTTCCATTCCTTGAAAAAATCGTCCAATCTCCAACAATTCCAGAAAGTGTCAAAAATATCATCAAAATCTACCCACCGAGTTTAGATACCACTGTAAAAACAACTTCTAATGGGTAAATAAGAAGGAAAAGAAACAGAAGCACATGGCCAGCATCAACATTTAGATTTTTTGTATGTAAACTTTGAATGTATATCCTGAAATATTTGGCAACATACAATATGCATGAATACAAATATTCAATATATTAGATTTGATTATTTGTCATACAAGGCACAGCACACAAAAGTATTTTGGTGAGAAGAACCTGGTTGTTCCTCTTTAATAATACGAGTGCAGACAATAATACTTAAATCAAAAAGTACAAGTATCAATTGGTATTTTGATCATTTAGTTAAACTGCTTATAATGCACAAAACATTCTATTGTGAAGATTGCTGTACAGTAGTTCAAACCATTTATTAACATAGACTTGGGGCACTAAGACATGAGAATCAGAGTCAGCTGAGGCATACTTGAATCTGCGGTAAAAGTTGTGGAAATACATTTGTAAACAGTTTTCACTACCGTCTTCACTGTCTGCAGCAGTATCCCATCAGTCAGTCGTACGTGCATTTGCTCAGCTCATAATGAATGCCACAGAGCTGGTGCCCGTACTCTGACAATATGTGTGTTTGATTGTTGCTGTTGTGTAACTGTGGAATAAGTGATGACGCTCCCCCACACTTTCTACCTCCCACTCCAACCGCTTTAAAATCAGAAAAACACTGTCGGCTCGAGGAACGCTTTGTGCGGACAGTCGGACACTGCGTGGGCACACTCACATCCCAAAGCTTTTCCTTCAGTTCATCATTTTGTCAACAAGACACATTGCTGTTGGACTTAAGGAAATCAGATAGATATTTGTACGTTAAATTTTGAAGTGATTGTTGTTCTTTACCATCCACGTCCTCCTGCTCAAAGTTGGTCCCTTGCTGTGATCTTGTCCCTCCATGGTCCACCACTGCTTCATCGTCATTCCTCTGTAACATAAAACACAAATATGGCGGATGTTTCAGAAACAGCTCATACATTGCTATAATGTATGAGCTGTTTCTTTCTGAATCTCGCAATCTACCGCTTGGCGATGTGACTGTTTAGTGTGGTTGTCATGGAAACTAATGACAAATATTCCTAAAAGGGAGAAAAGTTCAAACTACAAAGATATTTCATAACGGCAAAAAAAATAAGAGATCTTGCAAGAATATGAATTCCAAAACAATGCATTATTGTCATCTTATACACACAATGCAGAGAATAGAATAGGTTCATCATGAGATTATTATTATCAAAACAATAGGAAAAAAACCCTAAGCTTGTGTGTATATTGATTACATAGGATGAACAATTGCCATTTTCTCTGCTTTTGTGCAGTTTCCTTGATGAACACCTGTTTTGATGTTTTCAAGGAGAACTTTTTAAAGCACTCAGATTTCCAGTTTTTGATCCAAGACAAACAATGAATTGTAGATTTGGCTGTCGCTTGTGAGGTTGCCAAACTTGCCTTATTTATGCTGGTACTTCTAATTAGTAATGTCTCAACAATTAAGTTGTGGCAAACTTAAACATAAAGAAAGAAAAAAAAAATCTAACATTTTAAATTCAATAAAAAAATAACAAATAAAAAGCTTGGCACTACGTTACCTCAATATTTCACTATTTAAAGTTGAACTACTATGCACAGTGATTTAATTATGGTCACATCTCTATTTGCAAATTGCTAGGACAATACAGTTTGGCAGAACAATTTGCTCTGCCTCACTCAAAATGATCATGATTTCTAAGTTCAGCTCAAAACAAAAAACAAAAGATAATCCTATGAGCCTTTGTGAGCTTATGAAAAAAACAAAAAGTCAGATAGAAAATGCCATTAATGTCTGTTTGAACCTAATAGATTTAAAGTGGCACACCGTATACAAGCAGTCTTTCATTCCAAACATGGGAAATTCCCTGAAACGCATCCAGACATTGAGATTAGTGTCAGTCCACAGACAGAGGCAACATTTTGTGGTGTGAATCTGAGCTCTTATGCAATACTCAGGAAACGTACAAAAATAATGATACGAATATTATATAAATGAGAGGGACAAGGTGCAAGAAAAGAGCAAAACAAATGAACTCGATTACTGCTAATCTATTCTCACCTTTGCAATGTAAATACTAGGCATAGTAGTGGCTTTCTAAAGTCTTTGCTTCCTGAAATGCCAACAGGGTATCACCAATCAGCAAGACTTTTCACACATATAAAAAGAGTATAATCACTGGCGTTGAGCTACTGAAATGTGTCCAAGGACAGTTTTATGAAGCAGCTACAGTAATAATAGAAAGACAGTGTTTTGTTTGTTCATCCAGCCATTCCATTTCTTCTGCTTTATCCTGTTTGTCAGAGGGCGGGGCCATGATAAAATTTTGGTCGTATCTTTATCTTGACTTGGCCTCCTGTTTGTCAGAGGGCGGAGCCATGATAACATTTTGGTCTTATCTTGACTTGAGGAACATGTGTACCGAATTTCATGGCTCTACGACAAACTTGACCTCTGAAACTCCCATTGGCTGTTGTAGGTGGCGCTGTTCTGGAATTTTTTGAGTCCCATAAAAATAAACACCAAAATATCAAATTTTTCACCAGGTCTGATGTTTGGGCAAAATTTTACAACTTTTCATGCATGTTCAGGGGGTGAAATTAAGGCTCAGAATTTGACATCTCTCGAGCAAAAACAATAGGCCCTTTCCCCGTTCGGGGCTCGGGCCTAAATAGAGCCAAAGCTATTTCCTAGTCTGTGACTTCCTGTTACTTACATGGAAATCAAAATTATTCTGAGTCTGATTCTAGATAAAGCATTTGTTCACTTTCTGACCGTGAATCAAGTATGGCATGATCAATCCGAAGATTGCGTGTTATTCTAATAATGTCAATATAACTAAAAATCTATGAACAGCAAGCAGTAGTTTAGTTTCAGCATGTTATACTGTGACACCATAAAAAAGGTCATGTTCCTTCATTTACAACTCTTTAATCCTGTTCAATCTCAACAGTCATCAGTCACACTCGCCCTTGAACTATTGTCAAGTAAAGCTTTAGTAATCATGCACTTCACGCATTTAGCCTACATGCTGACAACATGTTAGCATTGTGTTGCGGCAAATAAATATACGTAGAGTATTATATAATGCTGTCTACGTTTAAAACTTTAAATTATGTGAATACTATTTTGAATAAAATACAATATTGAATGTTGAAAAGTGGCAAAAAGGGGTTTGTAGACTGCTCAGCCAGATCACAGTCAACAGGGAAGCAGATCCTGTGCAGAAATAGAAACTTACAACCAGAAAGATCCAAGGCACTTGACATGCAGTAATTCTACCTTTACTGGCATAACCTTAAATTAACAGGTAGAAATGAGACAAATATCAATGAGTTTGAAATCAAAGTCTGGTGAAGAGTGTCAAAATTACAACAGTTTCTTAAGCATGCCTCCCTGTTTTTAAGGGCGCAATAATCAAGAAAATGCCACACATCTGGCAATGGAACAACTGAAAAACCTTTTTATTTTATTGTTAAAATGTTGTAATCCCAAAATGTCTGACCCTGACTCTATAAGCCTGTTTGTTTTGGCAAACAGATTGATTGGCTAATCCAGTTGTCAATCATGGTCACCTGAACAGGGACTGATGTACGGATGAAAAATAACAATTAGTTTAATTATTAGTATGCCAATTCTTTCAAATAATCTATTAGTTTTTTAGATCTCAAAGGGTCAGTGAATTTATACATTTCACTAAAACTGAACTTTAAAAGCATTTCAAATGTATGTACACATGTATGTTATTTTGTTTGGTAAAAATGTGTTGGACAGGTGTTCTTCTAGGTGTTCTTACAAAAACACCTAGATTGGTTGGCTCAAGTGATGTCACTGGAGAACATTTATATAGATATTAGGACTTCACCACAACAAAATTTAAATAAAATTAAAGCCGCAAGCGGCGTCAAACGGCCCTCGCCGCACCGCGCGCACCACCCCGCACCGCGTGCACCACCCCGCATCAAGCCGCTCTGCACCACCCTGCATCAAGCCGCTCCGCACCAAGCCGCCCCGCATCAAGCCGCTCTGCACCAAGCTGCCCCGCACCAAGCCGCCATGCATCAAGCCGCCCCGCACCACGCCGCCCCGCACCACGCCGCCCCGCACCAAGCGGATCTGCACCACGCCGCCCCGCGCCAAGCCGCAACCGCCGCTCCACAACCCCCCGCACTACGCCGCACCACCGTGCAAAGGAGGTGGGGCCGCCGTGTGATGATTTCTTGCTGTTGCCATAGAAGAACGTTAGTCAAATTGTAATGAATATGATGATTAGAGCTGTTTGGCACCCCATGTAAAACTTTGCCTCAATCTGTAGGGAGCGCTATTGGGCCAATTTCAAATATTTCACTTTCACCTGACATAAACCCTGGAGTTGAACATTTGATTAAACAAGCAAATCAGACTTTGTTTGTGCAAACGGGAGCAAAATTAATGTTGTGAAAAACGGCCAATAAACACTCACATTTTGCCGCTCCGCTGCTCAAAAAACGTTTCACTGATCAAAAATCCCTTTGGTCATTTTGAAGGTAAATGTGTTGAGATGATCTGAAGCGATTTTGAGGTAAATCGGTGAAACGGCCGAGGAGGAGTCGCTTTCCAACCGACATGTCTGAAAATGATTGTGGATCATTTTTCCATTTTAATTTAAATTTATGGGCCTCCTGTTTGTCAGAGGGCGGAGCCATGATAACATTTTGGTCTTATCTTGACTTGAGGAACATCAATCAATCAATCAATCCTTTATTATCTCACACAGATGGAGAAATTCAGTTCGATGAATAAACATCAAGGCCGGCCGCGTACTCTAATTTTCCGCGCTCCTTATGACAGTTATTCAACAGCATAGAGCAAAACAGACACATATTTCAACAAACATGGGGAGAGACACGGTACATGTGGAAAAACATACGGATCTTTTTAATGGGAAGTCATCACTCTGGCCCGCCTCGTCCAATATGGCGCGTCAGAGGGGAGTGTGGGTGGGGGAGGTGGAGGGGAAGACCACCATAGACTGAAAAAGAGAGAGAGGCAGACATGTAGAAGGGGGGGGGGGGGGGGGGGGGGGGGACTGTAACTGGTGTTATGGGTTGTGAGTCTGAGATAGATAAGAGTCCAGTGTCAGCCTTGAGTGGCCGTGTGTGGTGGTGGAATGTGAAGGACAAAGATAGCGCAGGTGCCTGCAAACATTGGAGACAAAACAACACATGCCCTTGTGGGAAATTTGTATAAGCACTTTAGCTGATCAATGAAAGGCAGTGTAAACTAAAGCCAATATGTCCAAATTATACTGGAACTGGACCCTCCGTTCACCGTTATCCGGAGTTGACCACGTCAGTACGAGGTTCCACCGTGAGGCCCAAGTCCTTCAATCAATCCTTCCAAGCGTTTAAGTCCATCCAAAGATCTCACTCCCAGGAGTTAAGGGAATGTTCGATCCGACTCACACCCCGTTGTGTCCCCACTGTGCCCTCGACCACGACTCTGACCAACTCGCGGAAACTCTCCTTGTTTTCCGCGGACAGCCGCTCGTAAATCTTCTGAGTGGACAGCCCTCCAACTTTGCGGTAGATCAAGCCAACTCCAAATCCAATCAGGAGGAACCCTGCTACCATAAATCCAAAAATGTATATATCCTCAATGTCCTCGATGGACAGTCCCGACAGACAAACGGGGTGCCACTTTTGCCAGTTGTCAAAAACGTACCCAGCAGCCGCCGTACCATCCGGGCAAACGGCATCTCCAGAACCGCCTTTACGTGATGAGAAAATAGTATCAATTGCGTTGAGGGACCAGTTGATTAATTCCATCATTTTTTCAAGTTGTATACAGGCAGAAGTCTAGGAAAAAAGACAGTCAGGGCAAGCAGAGCAGGAGCAGGCAAGAGACACGTCTGACCTCGAGGAGAGCAGGAAGAAGAAGGAACATGTGCACAACACATGTTGAGGAACATGTGTACCAAATTTCATGGCTCAACGACAAACTTGACCTCTGAAACTCCCATTGGCTGTTGTAGGTGGCGCTGTTTTTTGAGTCCCATAAAAATAAACACCAAAATATCAATTTTTTCACCAGGTCTGATGTTTGGGCAAAATTTTACAACTTTTCATGCATGTTCAGGAGGTGAAATTAAGGCTCAAAGTGCAGAATTTGACCTCTCTCGAGCAAAAACAATGAAGAAACGGTGCTTTAAATGCAGACTTTTTATCAGATTTGAAGACATTTACTTCTTCTTCTTCTTCTTCTGTTATTTTCCGGCAGACTAGATGCCTCACGGCACATTGCTGCCTCTCTCGGTGAAATCAGTCATCTCCAATAAATTACATCCAGACATCCGACAGCGCTCTTAGAGCGAAGTCTTGTCCCGCTGTAGGGCTTAGTAAAGCTCGAAGGCTGACATTACCCCCTGATGCTGGCGCTACAGTTCGAAACAGCTCTGTACGTTGGTCTCTATACAGTGGGCACTCCATAAAAACATGTTTTACTGTTTGCTCTTGCTTGCAGTGTAGGCACAACCCATCAGGGTGTTTCCCCATTTTAAACAGATCCCACCCTAAACCACAATGTCCCAGTCTAAGCCTGGTTAAAATGACGGCAGGTTTCCGAGCTTTCCCAGTGTATACATTATGAGGTTTTACTGACGAGTTAATATCATAGTAGTGGCGCCCCCGAGTGTCACTTTCCCATATTTTTTGCCAAATAGCAGTAGAATAGCTTTTAATTGCTGCCATATCAGCCACTTCATTTCCAAACACCCCGACATGAGCAGGGACCCACATAAAGCCAACACTACTACCGAGCCCTCTCAATTCTGAACAGGGTAGACAGTAGCTCTGCAACCAGATCAGGCTTGAAGACATTTACGTCCAAATCAGGTCAACATGTAGGAATTACAACCAACTTTTTGAGGGAACAAAATTAGCATGCCTCTGACAGTAGTTAAATGACACCATCAGATTCAGGTCAGATGATTGATTTGGTCCATGCATTATTACATTTTACTTATTTTCAAATAATATTTCCCCCAAACGCATAAGAATTGTGACTACTGCTTTTTTATCAGCATCACATCATCAATTAATGCAAGGGAACATTGCCACCACCATGTTTCACTGACGAGTTTCTGGTTTTCACGTTCAGTATTCTCAGCAATTTTTGTATCCCTTCAGACCATGGATCTATAATAATGACCGGATAGGATATTACTAGCTTATAGCTGTCCCACCCATGGGCACAGGGGGCGCCCGTGGTACTGCAGACTAAATTCACGGGGGCTACCCAGAAATTTTCCCCATAGATCTAAATGTAAACTAAAACAGCTCGACCTCAGCTGACAGAGAACCAACAGCTTTCATATAAGATCAGATTTTGTGGGGATTTTAGTGTCCCTTGTCATCCTGTACTTTTTTTCTTCTTAAATCCTTCGGTTTTCTTTAAATACACACTTTACTGCCACACACTCTGCTCGTTTCCTTCCCGCTCTGATTCCGCTCTACCACTGTTCTGATCAGCAGTGCGGATTGGTCAAAGGCGGCCGAGCCCCTCTGTGCACGTGCATGAGAGCCACACACGCGTAGTTGCCGCAACGCGACATGGGAGCTCGTCAACTGCGCAGAACCGGTAGGACCAGACGATGCCCAAATATAGCCAAGTTCCGCTGATATGTCAGTGCCCGTGAAGTCCCATGCACTGCTGAGCACAAGCCATTCATTTGAATAGGGTGCCATCTTGGATCACCAGGGCTTGCTTCAGACTCATCAAATATCTCTTTCACTTATCTACTTTGAAGAGTTTGATTTGATTTTTCAGCCTAAAGGTAGCTGACAGTAAAAGCTCTTTTCTAATCTCATATTGAGGTAAATTCCAAATGGAAGCAGCACAACTTAAATTACCATTTTATCTTATTCTACATGGGATAAAGAGGTAATAACACACAACTGGCACTTGGACTGTTGAAAATCCAATTCTATGACTACTTTTTGCTACTACAAAAAGGTGCATAGAAACTGTTGTAATTCATACACAGTTCATCTGATTTGGATGTTAGATGAATGTCTGTTATATTAATGGATTCATATAACTATGTGTTGAATGTGATTATGGAAAACATCAAACGTGTCCACTTTGTTCTGTCTCTGGAAGTCAGGTCAGGAGGTTGTGTGACGTTGACCTGCAGACCATCTAACGTTAATCATTAGGTTTATAAAGGACATAGCCTTTCACAGCTGCTCCGATCAGAGGCTACGGATAATCTGCACAATAACTGGGTATGGCTAAACCAGCTGCATTCATTCATGGCATCAATGGGACCATCTACAATGCACAGTAATTATGTTAATGTCAGATTTAATTCTCCTTTTCATATTACTCAAGCTTATAAAGATCGCACAGCCTCGCTACGTAATTTAGAATCTCCTAGAATCATGTTAAAGACTGAAGACTGGCACCACGCTGGAGTGTGAGTGGATTCGCAGGATATGGGGCAGACTTGGAACGTATGAGTGCAGATGGCTAAGGCAAATGTGGAAGCGTCCACACAATAATCCATTAAATGTTTTTCCTTTGAACATTTGGATCCTGTTAAAGTACACATTAGCGTTCCACTTATGATGTTTAACAGCTTTGACTCAACCTTTTGCACCGGAAGATCTAGCAAATTATTATCCAGCTTAAATGATTACTTGGTAAAAGCCAGGCATAGTAAAAGTCAAAATGTATCGCCCAGAAATACCAAAAGATGACTATCTGAAGCTAAAACTGTTAAAGTATGTCAGCTATGGTCCTACCTGATGGTCGCAACCCCAAGGAACCTCCAGCTTGTTGGAATACATCAGCGTTTTTCTACAGTGCCTGTGATTTAGGCTGAAAGCAGTATCTACACAAGCTGAGCTCTACTTCACACGCGGGCTGGCAGGCGCAGGAGCCTGCTGGTGCATGGTGACTCAAACCACTGTAATTTGTGATTGAGCATCTCTGAGCTCTGCCATCTCCGCTGAGATTACTGCAATGACATCATCAAAGGGGCTCGGCGTCTTATCGCTGTCATTAGAAAAAGCACCGAGCATGGGCATTGTTTATTCGTCGCAGATGAATGAGGAAACAAGACGAGTGGAGATGACAGAGGCACTGGCCACAAAAGGAGGAGGTTGGTTCTGAAAGTGTTTGGAGTGATTTAAGGGACAAAACTTACTATACTCCGGCGTTTCAAAGTATCATAGAAGGAACCAGTCTGAAAGAAATGTAAAAAAACATAGTTATAGTGAAGGACTCTTGATATTTACACCTTGTATTCTGAAGAAGAATAATAGAATAAACACAGGGAGTGAGACATGTCATTGTTGTCTAAAGGTAGAAAGAAAATTAGGAGCTATAAAGTGTTTGGAACAGAAGACTCAAATTTGGGGTCTTAAATATAGATGTCAGGTCATCCTGTCCATACAGCCAAAATGAAAGAAATCAAAGCTGGAAGCCTCTAAAAAAAACAGATCATCCCCCATTGTTTTTCCACAGAAACATTGTTTATCTTCACATTCATCCATGTCAGACCAGCCTCAAACTAGACATTAGAAAAAACACCCCAATCTGTCACATGTAGTCAGTGTTGGAGTTATGAAAATACATTCTGTAATATATTCCCAACTAAGTAATATAAAACTTTATTCATCCAGTTCAACACTCACTTGCCCAAGTAGTCTGCAGATGTCACGGGCAACACAATACAAGATACAATTTAAGTAACTCAAGTTACAACGTGCCTGCATGATTGAATTGGTATTGCAAATCATATTATTTGTTGTTTGAGCGTAGTGTCAGTGGTTGTTAGTGAGCGTGAAACAATAATACATCCATGCGTGAAACTCAAAGATGGCATATGGTCATGGAAAACACCTCATTTTCTCTCAATTGAACAAACAATAGAACATTATAGTAGATGTGACTCGGGGAAAGCAAATGTCGCCAACAATGAAGTAAAAGTAGTGCAATTCAGAAGTAATATTATATATTTTTTAACGCTTCTATTGCATTCCCTGTAAGTTGTATATTCGCCTAGAACAGCCGCTTATAACATGCAAACTGCACGTGGACATGTGTATGCATAATTAACCTCCGCAGGTGACGCTAATGAGCGGAAGTCTGTGTCTGTCTCCATCAAAGTAAGTGACGCCATAACTTTACAGGTTAGAAAGTTGAAAGGGTATTACCGTTGATACGAGAGGCTCGCTCTGCGCGCCCTGCTCCTTCAAGTCCTCCATGTCCTCCATGTCCATGGGCAGAACATGGATCTATGGGTGCAGAAGCAGAAGCAGCAGCAGAACCAGTAGCTGGGCTTCTCCACAGGCGCAGCCCCGGGACTTAGGACGTCGAGCTCGGTGAAGTGGTCCCGTACAGTCTCCGGTCTGTACTACAGAGATTCCGCCTTTGTTACAGACTCGAAATTAAAGAGCTTATGTAATCCACACCAGCACACGAGACTTATGGGCAGGCAGCCATTGTTTGATTGGAGGCTGATGCTGACTTTAGCCTGACGTTATTACGTGGGAAACAAATGCATGCCACCATGAGTCAGTGAAGCAAAACGATGATAATGTTAAAGGGAGCCAAATAAACACCGACCAAAAACAAATGTAGACGTTGGTAGTTCCCCATATATCTTGGGGTAATGTTGGAGGGCAGGTGAAGATAACTTTCTGCAACTGAAATAGTGTTGAAGGACTTCTGTTCTGTGTCGTCATCTAAAGGCATCTGTCACACTGATGCTTTCTTGAGAAAGTAGGCCGATTACTAACACTCAATGCTACTCTTGAGTATATGCACTCTTAGTTTGGGGAAACTGGAAATACAGTTCGAGTGCATCCCGTCCGATCCGTCTCACTGCGTGTGCGCTGTGTGGACCAGCTGCGTTCAAATGTCGCCATCTGCTGTTTGTTAAAGGAAGTACGGGTCCTCCGTTCTTAAATACACGCTCGTGTGTTGTTTTTTTATTCGACTACACGTTTTAAGTATAAAATGAAATCGTAGTCTATGCAGTAAATTAAATTAGAGGATACAGCATACAATTGACGGCCAAATGACTTACTTTTACAACTAGTCTGATGATTCAGCCTGTATATGATAGAAGACGCTGCAAATGCATGCAAAGTCGATCGTGTGATAAGCCCAGTACTGCGTGTTTTTTGAACACTCTGTACAAAAAATACTTTGTCCAATCATAATAAGTACAGTTAAGCCCCATAGACTTCTGGCCATTAAGTACAGAATATGCTAGCAGGCCTGACTAGAATGTAATCTATATAATTTGAATGACAACTGGCCTCTTGGTCATTGCAGAGAAGCCTAAATATAGGCCGAGGCCCTAAACCAATGAGTGCAACTAAGAACACAAACCTGCGAATCCTTCAGTATAGATGCAAAATTGGCCTGGACTATAACTGTTTAAGTTCTTGCGTTGAATATACATTTTCTTTGCACGATGACTAATTAACCCAATATATCGACCTTTTATCCAGAAAAACCTAAAATGTTATAAGTACATATCCCGATTTCAAAATGTTTTATTTTGTTTTACAACACGTTATACAGAAGATACAGAGATTTTCACAGCAGCATACAGGCTATAAAAAACGCCCAAATTGAACAAATTAAAATACCCTAACAGTATAGTCTAACATCTGTTTACGCACACTTATCATACAGTTAATAACGGAGATAAATAACGCCTTTGGGTGCCTACAGCTTTCATAGAATACAAAATACATAGCCTATTTTCCCAGACGAGGATATATGCTACACAGGAACATCTTCTCATTGTACTAACAGTTGGCTACTGAACAGAAGATTGCTATCTGTACATCCATCACTATGGTCAAATGTTATATACAGTGTATCTATGATTTATTACAGTGTTTGGACGCAGCAGCGTGAATCAATTACGTTAGTTACGCTGGGCGAAGTGTGGCGCACATACTGTGGAAGAATGTACACTTTGGTCAAAACTGCGGACCGCAACGCCCCTTTCCCCATTTGTACAGCCTTGAGATAGATGTTGATCTTAGCTGTGTGGGTAAAAGCTGTAGTAACCAATGTCCTTTGTGCAGGCTTTGTCGCACTCAGATTTGAGCGGGGACACAGTCTCTGGGACAGGGGTGGCAGAGGGCGAGATTCTCCTCCTTTTGGCCTGTTCAAAGATCCCAGAATCACTGGAGTCCATGGACTTAATGGAGGAAGGCGTCTCTATCCAACTGGACTCAGACAAGTCTTTGGGTTTAGGCTCCTCGGAGGCTCCTATGGGTATGGGAGATCTTTCTGTGACCACTGAGTCTGCGCCTTCCTCGGACAGGTAGTTGACCCCTCTGCTCAGAGAATTGGCAGGCCAACAGGAGAAGACTGAGCTTGTCTTGTATTGTGGAGGAGTGCGCCCTCCCCACCCTGATGGGTCCGCGTAATACCCCAGAGCCCGGTTGGAGCAGCCTGCAGTGGGCAGCGGGAGGGCCTTTACGCCGGCCGCAGCGTACGACAGCAAGGTGGCCGCGTTACCGGCGAAATCCGCCGCGTCGTATGCCGAGGCACCGAAGTCCAGTCGGTTGTTGGCAGGGGTGACAAACCAGCGTTGCGGGGGGGCGGCCACAGGGGGCTCTTCGTTTTGCTGCGGGGACAGCAAGCTGTTGCCGAGTGGGACGCTGCGCTCCGTGCCAGGCCCGCCCCCCACGCCAGGGTGAAAACGAGATTTGGCATAAGTGCTGACAAACTGGTCCTGCAGGAAGGAGCTGGGCATGGCGTATCTAGCGCCCGGCACGATCTGTGAACGCGGAGAGTCACCCGGAGATGGAGTGAGGCGGTCGATGTCACAGCCTGTGTACACCCTGTAAGGACAAACAAACAGCTCAGAGAGCACCAGCACTAAAGATCAACTCAACACTTTCACCTCAGTCTGCACGGAGAAGCATTTGCACAACATTCACATGGACATGACTGCAATTTCAACTGCACATATTCATGGGTCTGCATGAGCTCCTGATTCACGAAGCATGTGGAGGACCTCATTCCCATTAAAAAGGTTAATCGATTATAGGTTTTAAACATTATTTGATAGGCACTTATTTTTGTGAGAAATTCCCACATTTCATCCAAACTATAGCGTAAGAAATATAAACTCTAAATTGAGGTAGTGTTTGATTTATGGTTATTCCAAATTATTGATTAGGTTTAACACAATCTTACGTGTCATAGTTGTCTCGAAATCCCTTGGCAAACGGATTGTGGTCGATTTTTAGTTGCGTGATCTGTAATAAAATATAGATTAATAAATAAAAATAATAACAAACAATTATACTAATGAAAAATATAGAATGCAGGTTATTCGGGTGACTGCTTTATGAAATGTTATAGAAAATCTTGACAAGTAGGCCTAGAAGGTGTTGAGGCTCGTACGTCAGTGTTCTGGTAGGCCGTCACCGCGATGAACTGCGTCTCCGTGAAAGTGAAGGTCTGAACGCGTCCCGCCTGACTCGTGTCCTCGGTGCCGTCCTCGTTCACTTCCACCACGTGGAGCCGCGGTTGGTACTTGTGCAGAGACTGGAGCACCACCATCTGCACATCACACCACAATACATGAGCGCACAGCCATTTACAAAGAGACGACACGCAACCTGCTCTGGCTCATTAGGCACGGGCTTCACACGCTCCACAGGCGGACTAGTAAGGGAAACTTTCCAGTAATAGTGTTTTTCATAAATATAAAATAACTAACTATTGAAATTAACTATTAAGTTATTAATACATTTCTGTTTGAATGTATGATTTGTAAACAACTTTCACACCTGCCGTTTTTATATTTTCTATTACATCTTCAATAAACTCTTAGAATAAAACTGGAACAAAATAATTCCTTCTGATAATTTCCATAATTTCTTTTTTTTTTTCTTTTGCATTTTACGCAGACACAGGTGACTTGTACAATTAAACACAGCTGAAATAAAGTCAGAGGACGTTCATAGATTAAGCAAAAAGTTTTAAGAGAGTATACCTGGCCTGTGTTGTTGGATGCGCCTTTGTTGTTTGTGAGCTTTAGTTTTCCAAAAGAGATTTCCTGACGCATCCAATGTGCTCCGGTGTTTGGCGAATCTGGATGCATGTAAACTCGGTTTCCTGAAAATAAATACATACATTCTAGAACTTATTGATTTTATAAAAATGCGTTAAATTCGTAATAATTATAAAATCTCAAAAAAATCCTACCAATGACATTTGTATCTGCTTTCCCACACGGAACCCACTTCCCCCCTTGGAAACGCCAGTGATTAGGATCCGCAAGAATCACGTCCACAAAGATGTTGTAATGAGCGGTGGGGTCCAACCCAGAGATGTTGAAGCTCAGAAAGGGGAACATTCGTCTGTGGCGTGAAAAAAACACATACGAAAATTACGCACCTAAAAGAGACTAAAAACTACAATAGGCGAATACGAATAAAAAACAACTTCCTGAGTGATCCAAATTTGAGAAATATAAATATTTGTTCATTATTAGTGCCCGAGAAAAGTGCTGTTGTGTACATAAAGTCATAGTAAAGACGCACACTCACCGGCCTTGCTTAGTGATGATCATCTCGGTCTGGTGCCTGTGGAACTTCAGCCACAAGGCCCTGTTGCACAGATAGACCTGCGCCTTGCCGGGCACCAGCCCCTGCGCGGAAGAGAACTGGTAGAAGGCGCCTCCCTGGTACGCGTGACTGTACTGCTGCGCGTACGGGTATCCTGAATAGCCCTGCGACAGACTGTTGTAGGCTCCGTTGGTGATGACCGGGTGGTGGGCCATATAGCGTCCGGGGCTGCCGATGGAGAAGGGCGGAGGCGCGTGTTGGCTGGCGTACGGGAACATAGCTCCGGCGGGGACTGGCTGCGGCTGAGTCGGAGTGAAGATGCACCTTTCAGCCGCTGAGCCATCGAAGTGAAGGCTGGGAGAGAGTTTGCCCCTCTGGACATCCCCCGGCGCGTCCTTGGAGTCCGGGAAATTGTCTGCCTCTGACTGATTCGTCATCTCCCTGGAGTTTTTTTTCAGAGGTGAACTTCTCTCCAGGTTGTCACTCGCAGATAGAAGAGGATGGTCCTGCAGCGCAAGCTCTGGTCCATCCGAGCTTGAGAAGCCACTGCCCACATTCATAAACTTCTTGGAGAGATTACTCGCTGGTGACAAGCAATTCTCCACCTGCATGGCTCTATATAAGAAGCCTCTGTGCGCTGAACATATATCACCGCCTATCTACACGCAAGGAAAACGCCTTGCTACGCCTTAGAAGCAAAAGAAGCAAATTAGCCAATTGACACCATCCTGCAATCAGAAAGCATTTTCTCTCCATCACTCTCCCCCACTTTAATGAAACTATAGCCACGCCATTGGTTAACTCAAGGTTATAATTTAATTAGACAGCTCTTAATTAGGAGGGTGCTGTGAGCAAAGTGATTTGTTTATAGTTTGACATGTTTATTTTTGTACTTCTAATTTATTCTAAGTCATGAGTGAAATAACGAAAGATGCAGCTTTTTCGTTATTTACCTATTTATTCGTGTTATTTACCTATTCATGCGCCATGAGTGCCAAAGGATGTCCGCAGCAGCAGCCAGGATATATTATTAACGCACCAAGAATGACAGTCCATGACAGGCAGTGCCTCTGATGCTTTAAAATGTTTGTGATATAGCGTGAAATCATGGCGTCCCTCTGAAGATGTGTTTATCAGTCCCAGGCCTGCTAAATATTTTATTCTGAACCAATGGCACCAAGAGCAGGACACATCAGAGCGCGCGAGGCACAGTTCCGATAGGTTTGAACTGATTTGTTGAGATTTTCACAAAACATATAAAATATGGATAAAAAAGTATGGTTAATAAAATGTCTGTGTTGCAGATGATTGAAAATGTCGTGGACGTGATGCAGCGGAGACGGCAGCTGTATCCAAGGTTTCAAGTCTGAACATTCTCTGCATTAGGCTTTAACAAGGTTATTACCAAGTTAACACTTCCCGCAGTTCACAGGTAAGGCATCAGAGCAGCCTTCTTTGAAATGTGGCCTTTGCAATATAATATTACTGTTATTGAAATGAGAATAGAATTACTGGATTACGTGCATTTGTTTAACACCTCTTTGATTATTGAGCATTTTGGAAAGGCAATATTTATTATAACACATTCTAGTTACTGTTAAATGAAATGTAAAAAAATAAAAATAAAGTGTTATCTTGGATTTTTTTTACTAAAATTACAATGACACAAGGTAATGATTAATACTGATTGAATAATGATTGCATAATTACAGGACAAAATCATTTTATTTTTTACAATAAAATACTATACATTGATATTTTTGTAATTATTTGATTACAAAAATCAAATCACATTAATTACACATAAATATTCAGACAATAATACATGAAACTTACCACAAAAGTGCTGGAAAATACCTTCAAATAAAACTATTTGTTTTATTTTACACCATATTGTTCTACAGTTGTTTGTTTCTTTTTGCATCGACGCTATAGTGATATAGTTGTATTTACAAATATGTTGATATATCATTTGCTACAGGAAAGTAAAAAACAATGCCCAAAATGAGAATTCCCCTATCCAAATCCTCTTAACAAATGTTTTCTAACTCATTACGCCAAAATTTTCAACTTTTTTTTAACACATTTTTGCTGTTCTTTTCATATTCCTAGTTATTTATTTTTTGTATGGCAGATCTCATACAGCCACTGGATCTAATGAAGTGCATAGCTAACAAGAGGGGTCATTACAGACAGGGCTATAGGGTCCAGCATCTATTTCTGCTGAGCGTGCTCGGGCTTGTCTGCGGCCACGGCTCTCTCCTTTTCCCTCATTACAGGATTATGGTCCACTTCCATCGTCATCTCTAATAAGCGTTTGGCCCCTGCAAAACCAATTGTTGAATCAGGCGTGCAGCCATGTCTCCAGGTGTCCCCAGTTTGTGGCAGGATCAAGCCCGTATATGTCTTCTATCACTGGACTTGGGAGGTAGGGGGGGGGGGGGGGGGAGGTTGCGGAGTGTGCCATGTGCCAGTGGCCAGACTTGTCCCACTGGGAGGAGAGAAGGATGGAGAAAGGGAGGGGGTTAGGGACTCTTTACTGAGTTTTCTGACCAGCTGAGTGTAAGCAAGGCCCTCCTGTGAAGAGCCTTGTTTAACTGGACATGTGGTTGACGCCTTGCCAAAAATGTCTTAATCGTTAAGGGATGCACAATGGATTAGTGAGAATTCAGCGCCTTCAGAATGTGCGTGACAATTAGGAACAAAAATATTTTAAAAGTGCTGTTTAGTTTACTAATTTAAACATAGGAATTCAATCATTACAGTTTGCTCATTATATTCAACCTTTTACTAATACATATTTTATATAAATAGAAAGTGATGTTTGATGAAAACTAGTGTTTCAACACAACAAGCCATTTTATTTGTTTATGTTTGAATTCACACCAGACGCTTCATGAATTTTATAGCATCTATTAGATACATTTTGTAATTTACTATACGTACAAAGTAATTATTTGGTCAAAAGATAGTTTTGATAGTTTGTTCTACAGCCAGTCCCTGCTGCATAGGTGCCTTTGGGTCTGTCCTTGGCCAAAAAATGTATATTTAACAATAAATCAAAAGTTGAAACTGACATTTTTAATTATACTACAAGGTTAATAAAAACGTGCTTGCATCGTCAGTGAAACAAATGAACGATGACAGTAAAACCCCACTATTTCCAGGACAGAGCCAAGTTAAAAACACACACACTCTTCATGAGTCACATGCACGGCCATCTCCTTTTATTGTTGTGCCAAAGGAATCTGCGCACCACCTGGGTCTAATCTAATCAATGTGAATGACAAGGAGAGAAAAAGCCTGAAAGTGAGCACCAGCTTAGGGACTCTGCCTAATGCCCAGCTCTGTCACTTCAATGATATGATCAGCGCACACAAAATGACAACAAAATTATAGCCAGCAAGGATACGGGGACATCACACACTGCTCCAGTCAGGTGAAATTGCCTCTCTCCAACTCTGAAATGGCATGTCTCCTGTCGGATGGGTAAACATTTCCTTGTCAGGCCAGTAATAAGGAATGAGGCACAAGTGCGCTCAACTAAGAGGGGAGAGCCAAGGTTATTTGGGATTCATGACAGGTATAGTGGCTTATATTACAGTGGTGCTGAAAATTTCATGGGAATGCATTTAAGATGGCCCCTAACTTATTTATACGTTGTTTGCCGCATGTCACATTGCAACATCCATCAATACATCAAAATAAAAGTATATTTTGCTACTTTTTGTGTTGCACAATTTCAGGGAAATAAATAACAGACACAAAAAAGGACATGCAATTGTAATTTGTTTAGCAATTAATTTTTTCCATTCAGGATTTGCCAGTGCAATTTTTAAACACACCCATGGCTGAAATACCAATAAGAAAATCAGATGCACTTCCCAAATGTAAACTTATAAAATATTTTGCGCTGCAATTAACAATGAAAGGATTAATCAAGAATATTGGTCTAATAAAATACTTTTAATTGCCTTTGGATATTTATAATTGTGGAATGTAAATACTGAAAGCAAACAAAAACAGCTCATTTGATAATGAAAATGTAAAAATACAAACTGTTTATATTTATAAAATATTATTAGTACATTTCTATCTAGGAACCTTCAGTTTTCGTATACTATCTTTTGTAGTGTACAAAATGTGTTTAAAACCCTGAATTATCAACAAAAAGAATCACTGACTAGTCGGTAAGCTTTTTATTCTATTTCCCTAAATAACTGCAGTCTTTGTAAAGCGAATTTGCCATTTTGATTCCATTGCCATATTGTGCACTGCCCTATACTTCGAACCTGTATTTATATGTGATTAATTAAGCCGCCTGACTAATCTGATGAAACCATAACCCCTGCGGTGATGTGCCCTCCGCTGCAGGGAATCAAGGTGCTGACAGAGGGAACAGCTGGGGGCCACGCATAGGGGCTGGACAGTTGTGGCTTTTAGGGCCATCATTAAAGCATCCCTCCCTCCTGGACAAGCGGAGAGGCACGCGTCCCTGGCTCCACCTGCTCATTACGGTATGTCCTGGCCAAGACTAGCCACCGCAAAGCCACTCAGAGAAAATTAACCTCCAAGCAGGTGATCAATGCACGTGGTCTTCTATAGGAGATAGACCAAGTATAGAAACAAGCCTGGTCCATCAGGAACTGGTGCTAACAGTTTGAAACACGGCATGTTGCTGCATAGATTTATTGTGATAAACATAGTACAGAAAACATATTTTTTTCAATGCAGAGTGTTATTAAAATGTTCGATCAAGAAGAGATAAGCCATCAGCATTTTTTCAACCTCCACTGCTCAAATCTTGGTTATAAAAATAAATATGATCTATCCATTATTGCAGAGAAAATGTAATACCACTGACCACCCTTGAAGATGCTATACCAGATTTATTTTCTAATGAGTTCATAAAAATGCTTATTACTACATACAAGTTGTATTATAATCTGTAATTTCATTGAAAACTTGAGCTCATTGATTCAGCTTGTGTGTGAATTCAGGACTTATAAAAGTGCTGAGTAGAGACTTAGCGTGACTCTCGTTCTCCTCCACTCACAGAACGAGGCTGCGTCATGGATCTATTATATTAACTGGATAGGGTATTACTAGCTTGTAGCTGAATAACCCATGTGCTCAGGGGATTCTCGCGGTACTGCAGACTGAACCAGACTAAATTTACGTGGGCTACCCAGAAATTTTCCCCATAGGACTCAATGCATATTAAAAACAGCTCAACCTCAGCTGACGGAGAACCTACAGCTTTCATAAAGGTCGGATTTTGTGGGGATTTTAGTGTCCCTTGTCATCCTGAACTTTTTTTCTTCTTAAATCCTTCGGTTTTGTTTAAATCCACACTTTAGTGCCACAAACTCTGCTCGTCTGGCTCTCGCTCTAACTCCCGCTCTGATGAACTGCTCTGATTGGTCGGAGCGCGGCCGAGCCCCTCTGTGCACGTGCGTGAGACCTGGTGTGAGACCCACACACGCGTGTTTGGCGCAACGCATTATGGGAGATCATCCACTGCGCAGAACCGGGAGGACCAGACGATGCCCAAATACAGGCGAGTTTCCCATAGATCTTTGCGAGTTTCCCATAGATCTTTGCGAGTTTC